TTCGCGGGGAGAACAATAATGATGTCTACTATCTCCTGCCCTCAGCTAGTCCACAAATCCATTACACCACTACCACTTCGCTAGCCACATGGCATCAACGCCTTGGTCATCCCACAGTGAAAATTCTTCGCTCTGCTCTCAGAGCTGAAACAATAAACTTAGGTCTCTCGTCATTAACCAAATTTCATTGTACTCCATATGCTTTAAATAAAAGTCATCGTCTTCCTTTTTTACAAAATTCGTTGCATAGCTCTCAACCCCTTGAACTAGTCTACTTTGACGTTTGGGGACCCACTAAATTATCAATTGATGGGTATAAATTTTATCTCATTTTTGTTGATCATTACAGTAAATACATATGGTTTTACCCTATGAAGAAAAAATTTGATGTCTCTGTGATCTTTCCACAATTCAAAAAATTAGTTGAAAACTTCCTTCAAAAACCTTTAATCACTATATACACCGATAATGGAGGTGAGTGCGTAGCCCTTAAATCCATTTTCACTGCCCATGGCATCTCCCACTTCAAAACATCCCCTATACCTCTGAACACAATGGCACATCCGAAAGACGACATCGACATATTGTTGAAATAGGACTTACTCTGCTTCACAATGCCTCCCTACCCACATCTTATTGGTCGTTTGCATTTCAAATGTCTGTTTACCTAATCAATCGACTTTCAACCCCAATCCTTCATCACAAATCCCCGTATCAACTCCTGTTTCATTGTACACCCAACTACACTCGTGTAAAAATTTTTGGATGCCTATGCTTTCCTTGGCTCCGCCCATACACCACCTCCAAACTCCAACCCAAGTCCTCAGCTTGTATCATCCTAAGCTATTCCATAAGTCAGTCCGTTTATATTTTCTATGAACCCATTGGCAAAAAATTTTATATCTCCCGTCATGTCCAATTTGCAGAACACATTTTTCACAAAGGAAATAGTCAGTAGCACCTTTTCTCCCTGCAAGGCAACGACACCTCCAATGAGTCCACCACAGTAGGTATATCATCCCAGCTCTCTTATCCATATATAACTGATCAATCTGATTCTCCACAGGACAACACCATCCCCTTCAACATTCCACTCTGCCTATCCTATCGAGTCACTCCAATCAGGAGGCTAGAGCCCAAGAACCAGCCCACTCCATCCCCACTGCCTAAAACCAATCAAACCTGACCCATAATTCTCATTCTCAAATATCTCCAGCTCGCCACCTTACAAACTCCAATTTTGCTGGGCTCTAACCCAAACCGGACCTCTTCCCAGCCCATACATACGAATTATCCCCAAATCCTACCCGCCCACAACACACCCACCTCTCTCCCTCACTCGTCTCCCTCCTCATCTCTGGCCACTCCTACTGAGTCAGTCCGCCCGCCAGCAAGCTCTGCTTCACAACCTTCAGAAACTCCAGCTCCACCAAACCGTCAGCTCCGATCTTCCACCGTCAGAAAACCCAACCCCAAATACTTCAATCTTCACTTCATCAATCACACCACCACACACCCCATGCCCGTTCTCCTTGAACCCAAAAACTACTCTACTGCTATGGCTGATCCCAAATGGCGTGCAGCCATGTCTGAAGAATTCAATGCATTGATGAGGAATGGAACATGGGATCTAATCCCTCAAAGCAACCAGAATCTTGTAGGTTGCAAATGGGTCTTTCGGATCAAAAGAAACCCGGATGGAATCATCGCCAAATACAAAGCTAGACTTGTCGCAAAAGGGTACCACCAACGCCTAGGACTTGATTTTTCAGAAACTTTCAGCCCAGTATCAAAACCCACAACCATTCAACTCCTCTTCAGTTTAGCACATGGCCATGGGTGAAAACTAAGGCAATTAGACATCAATAATGCATTTCTCTAAGGAACCCTGTCTGATGATGTCTTCATGCTTCAACCTCCTGGCTTTGTTCATCCCTCCTTCCCCCACCGCATCTTCAAACTTAAAAAGGCCATATACGGGTTGAAACATGCACCTCGTGCTTGGTATGACGAACTAAAATTGTTTCTGTTGAAATCTGGATACAAGAACTCTATAGCAGATGCCTCACTCTTCATATATAACATTGCTGGTATCTGTGCATACTTTCTAGTCTATGTGGATGACATTGTATTGACAAGAAATAATGACAGCTACTTGGAGTTCTTTGTCAACTGCCTAGCATCACGGTTCTCTCTAAAAGATCTTGGCATATTGCATCAGTTCTCAGGGGTTGAGGTTATTCATACACCTGATGGCATGTTCCTCTCCCAGCATCACCATATTACAGATATACTGGAAAAATTTTCAATGACTAGCACCAAGGAGGTCACCACCCCAATGAGTCATTCCACACCTCTGCTACAACATGATGGCTCTCCCCCAGCCGATTCCATTTAGTACAGAAAACCGGTTGGAAGTCTACAATACCTCTCTCTTACACGTCCAGATGTGTCATTTGTAGTTAATCGTTTATCCCAATATATGCATTCCCCTTCAAAGATTCACTGCACAGTCCTTAAAAGAGTTCTACGATACCTAAAAGGGAATATAACTCACAGCTTGTTTTTATGAAAAAACACTCCACTCCAAATAACTGGTTTCAGTGACTCTAACTGGGATGGCAATAGAGATGATGGCAGATCCACTACAACTTACATTATTTACTTGGGTTCAAATGCTATCTCCTGGAAATCAAGCCGTCAAAAATCAGTCTCCAGGTCCTCCACTGAAGCTGAGTACAAAGCTATGGAAAACATTGCAGCTGACATCCTTTGGGTTCAAAATCTGCTATTGGAACTGAGCATTACCCTCCCACAAGCACCAACAATTTTGTGTGACAATACAGGGGCCACTTATCTCTGTGCTAATCTAGTGTTTCACTCACGCATGAAACACCTCTCTATGGACTATCATTTTGTGCGAGAATATGTGGCTCAAGGAATACTCAAAGTCCTTCACATCTCTACCAAGGATCAGTTTGTAGACATTCTTACAAAACCTTTTAATAAACAACAATACACTACTCTCAGATCCAAGATTGGAGTCACCAATGGTACCTCCATCTTGCGGGGGCGTATTAAGGATAAACATGAACTACAGAGTTCAACTAATGGTTAACTACAATTCTACTCAATGTAATCTAAGTTCACCAGACCTGTAACAGAGTTAGAACTCTGCCTCTATATAAACTTCCTACTATATATATTCTGATCCTAAACATAATAAAGTAAGACAGATCTTTAACACTCTCAATCTTCACAACTATTAAAACTTCTTGGTAAAAATTAATATAGTAATTTAATACAATGATAGTGGTGAAACGTACCCAAATATAGGTCCCTCAGAAAATTTGAGGTTCGCCCTAGTTTTAAGGTTATGGATGCCAAGGTCAACGCCTCAAACCAATTCGGAAATGCTAAGGTCTTTGTTTTATATCATATTGACACCTTTGTTTTATATCATATTGCCACCTTCCACTTTATATATTATTTTGCATTAAATCAATTCAATTTGATTCAAAAGGTCTTTGTTTAATGTGTCGTGGTTTTGCAAATGCCTTTGTTTATGGTGCACCAAACCAACTGATCTGCCTTGTCATGCTTTGCTTAATTTATCTTACCTATAGCGGACGTCTTTTTATATATTTTTTAAATTTGGGTCTTTGCGTTTTGGTTTTAAAATTTTCAATTATTGTGTTCATGAAAGAGAAAAGTCTTTGATTATTGTTTTTATAATAGAAAAGTCTTCAATTATTGCGTTTGAGAAAGAAAAGTCTTCAATTTTTTTTTTTTCACTCGAATGAATTGCATGTTGCAATATAGTTGTATCACCTAACACATATAATCTGATTTTCGTATTACCACTTGCCAATTCCCTTAACTTGCAAGTCAGCCGTTTCACTTTGCCAATTCCATTATGTTATATCAGTAATTTTTATTTATATTTTTTTAGAATATATTTTTTAAAATTGTATTTAAATAATACATTAAAACGACAACTCTCGCTATTAGTATTATTTAAAATACACATACTAATATACTAATTATTTTATGTAACTCGATTTCAAAATTTTTGCTTTTTTATATCATTGATTTTTTTTGAAATTTTACATCATTGACTTTTTTGCAATGTGGATGTGCATGTCATACGGACACTGCAAGAATTGTGAATAAAAACACCTGCTGAAACTATTTGAGGATTCAAAGGCAACTGGTTTTTAACATAGTCAGCGTAGCTGTCATGACCCCACTAAATTTTAATTTTTCTGACTATTTTATGAAATAGTCGGATTTATAAGAGTGTTTGAACCCAACCATTTTTAAAATGGCCATGTTAGGGAATATGTATGTTTATTCATGGCATCTAAAAAATCCTACCTGAATAAAATTAGGGATGATTGACAGGTTTATTGAGTTCCCATTATAAAACATTAGGGATGCTGAAACAAGGCTTCTACTGCTAGTTCGTTGCTTTCCTTTCCTAATGAATTTTATTTTGAATTTTGAAAATGAAATAGAATGCAATTTTAAGAAGAATCGACACCCAAGAGTTGTGAACTACAGTAAATCTTCTTCCTAACTTGCTGCTAATAGCTGGGGGAGTATTGTTATTATTCTGAAGCACAGAAATTAACAATAGCGTTTATGACTTGCGAGGATTTGAATTGTACAATTAAATCGTTTGGCGGTACCAAATGGTACTTGGTCAAAAGTTATCGAGATATGTGCAAATGCTTCATAATGTTCTTTTTAATAGTTACACAAGTCACATGTAGATAATTCACGGCTTATATTATAAAACAAGATAGTTGACCGTCGCAGGTACAACTGGACCGACCCAAAATGCACTTCAAGTCGTGTAAAGCCACATGAATGGTGAATATTTAAGCAGGCATTGCAGAGATGAAGAGGGCACATCTTTCAAGCATAACTTCTTCACTTTCATCTCACTAGTTTTTCAGTTCAATCATCCCCTTCTCCTCCTCACTCAATCAAACAAAATGGCGGAAGCTTTCGCAACCGACATTGCAAAATCCCTTTTACGGAAGCTAGTCTCTTTTGCAGTCCAAGAATTTTGTTTGGCGTGGGGACTTGAAGGTGACCTTGCACGTCTTGAAGAGAGATTGTCAGCAATCAATGCAGTTCTGTCAGATGCCGAGAGGCAACAGTCACAAAATGACAGGATTCGGCTTTGGCTCCAGAAGCTCAAAGAAGTCTTGTATGATGCGGAGGACGTGCTGGATGAATTTGAGTGTGAAGGTTTGCGAAGGCAGGTGGTGAAATCTGGAGGAAGCATCAACAGAAAGGTACGACGCTTCTTTTCAAGTTCTAATATGATTCCATTCCGTTTAAGAATGGGTCATAAAATAAAAGACATCATCGACAGACTGACTGAGATTGCATCTCTTAAGTCTGACTTTAACCTCAGTGAACAGACTATTGATCATAGTAATGTCTTGCATGAGGAAACAGAGATGAGACAATCCTTTGAGAGCTTTTCCGGTCTTATCGGAAGAGACAAAGACAAAGAACACATCATCAGCCTTCTAGTAGAACCTTTTGAGGTTGATGGTGCACATCCATTTGTCGTTCCGATAGTTGGAATGGGTGGTTTGGGGAAGACTGCTTTGGCGAAAACAGTGTGTGATGAAAGTGCTCATTTTGAACTGAAAATGATGGCATGTGTTTCAGATGGTTTTACTCTAAAACAAGTGATTTCAAAAATTATTAAATCTGCAACTGGAGAAAAATGTACTGATTTGGATGAGAGCGAACTAAAAGCAAAACTAGAAGAAATTTTGACTGGTAAGAAATACTTGCTTCTTTTAGATGATGTTTGGAACGAAGATCCCCACAAATGGCTCTTGTTTTTGCCTTTGTTTTCTAAAGTTGCACTTGGAAGTAAAATTGTAGTAACTACCCGTAGCCAACGTGTTGCTGAGATTATGGGTACTGTTGCTGCATACGACTTAAGTCTTCTTGATCAAGAGGATTGTTTGTCTTTATTTTATAAGTGTGCATTTAAGGGGAGGCAGAAGGAGCAATATCCAAATTTGGTTGAAATTGGGAAAGAAATAGTGAAAAAGTGCAAGCAAATTCCTTTGGCAGTAATTAATTTGGGAACTCAATTGTATGGTAAAATTGATGAAAGTGAATGGAAATCGATAAGAGACAGTGGGGTGTGGGAGGAAAAGAAAGATGGTATTTTACCTGCTTTAAAAATAAGTTACCAACGACTGCCAATTCACTTGAGGAGATGCTTTCTTTATTGTTCCATTTTTCCAAAAGATTACGAATATGGTGCAATTTTGGATGGCACATGGACTGGTTCAATCATCATATCCGAATGAAAACTTGGAAGATGTTGGATTGTGCTACGTGCGGGAGCTGATCTCAAAATGTTTCTTCCAAGATTTTGAAGATGGGGTTTTTTGGTTTACTTTTAAAATGCATGATTTAATGCATGATCTTGCATTATCATTAGCTCAAAATGAGTGTTCAATCATAACCTCTCAAAACAACCAAATTTCCAAAACTACCCGTCATTTGTCAGTTTTTGACTCTCATTCATTTTTTCATCAAGCTCTTCCCAACTTCCCAAATAAATTAGATCGTGTGCGAACACTTCTTTTTGCAAGTGATCTAGAGGAACCTAGATGCAAAACAGACTTTGAGAAATGTTTGATAGAATTTAAGCATTTGCGGTCGTTGGAATTAATTGGTGATTGTGAATTGCTTCCACAAAGAATTGGGGTTCTGAAACATTTGAGATATCTCAATTTGTCTTATAATTCCAAGTTGAAAAGATTACCAAAATCTACTTTCAAATTACAAAATTTGCAAGCTCTGTTTCTCGGTGATGGATTAGAAGAGCTGCCCAAAGATGTGAGGTACATGATCAGCCTTAGAATGTTATTTCTAGTTACTAAGCAGCAACGGTTGCCAAAAGGTGGGATTGGGTGCTTGGAATGTCTTCAATTTTTATGCATTCTTAGCTGTGAAAATCTTGAATATTTGTGCGAAGATATGCAAGGTCTTAAAAGCCTTCGAAAATTTTTTATTGTTAAGTGTAAAAGCTTGATCTCTTTGCCACGAAGCATGAAATACTTGACTGCACTCGAGTTTTTAACTATTGCTGGTTGTGAAAAGCTTGATTTGATGACAATGGAGGAAGAGTACGAGGAAGAAATTAAACCACTTCGCCTTCAAACAGTAAAATTTGTATATTTACCAGCAACATTAGCATTACCAAAACAGATGCTTCAAGGATCTGCAGACTCCTTACGAACGTTGGTGATTCTTGGCTGTCCAAACATTAAAGAATTACCAGAGTGCGTCGGCAATCTAAATAAACTCCAAGAGCTTGTGATCTGGAATTGTCCAAGTTTGAGCAGAAGGTGCCAAAGGAGAACAGGAGAAGATTGGCCCAAGATCGCTCGTATCCCTCAAATTAATGTTCAAGATATTGACAGTGATGAAGAAACATCTGATTAGGTACTGATTATCAAGATTTTATGTTCTCATATTTAGCTTCACATTTTATCATTTCTTTAATTCCCTTTTCGGTTTAAATTCTTTTTCACCTTATGCTGATTTTATATGTTTTTAAATTGACTAACCCTTGTGTGTTATGAAGGGATAGATTCGATGGCACTCCATCGGCTTTACATTCAGCAAGATTTTGAAATTTCTTTGAACTTGGTATCCTCGTTAATTTCTCTGCTTGTATGATTTTTGCAGCTTTCATGTGGATTTCTGCTGATGGTTGTTCGGTGCCTTACATTTGTTCTGTGTTGCTGCTGCTATTCTACTTTGTTGAAATAAAGATGAAGGATACCGTCAGTAAATTCATGTCCTTCCTCCGTGTGATCTTCGCGTAGTTCCTGTTGCTGATTCATCTTTTCACTGTTTGCTGCTGCTTAGCTTTCCAGTTCCAGTGCCTTGGCCTTGTTTTCGATATCCTTGATTTGTTTCTGATGTTTGCTTTGCATCGTGCTGTTCAGTTTATTTTCTAGCTAGCCACATAATTTGCACTCACTCTTCTGTAAAAAAAAAAACGAACTTTCGAGATGAATGTCCACAGTCCAAACCAGATGCAGTTTCTCTCCAAATTTGTGCAGTTTTGGTGTATTAATGAAAGCTTATAATATTGTGGCCTGCAAGAAATCTTTCTTCAATTTTTTTTTTTTTTTTAATGTTGATTTTCGTAAACTTTGAAAAACATTAGTGAGAAATAATTGATTTTGACAGTGAAAATCACAATTCTAAAAGTTGTGTAGAACTGCAACAAAATATGAAATAAAATTGCAACCAAACCTGGCTTTTGTACAAATCTTTGTTGAGCCCATCTTGGATAGACCAAGAAAACACTATAATTATTAATTCTCTACCAGTAACCTTTTCAAGCTTCTTGACATGATACTTTCTCTTGGCCATTGTTCCACCTTTCTAACTTGAGATATTGGCCATGAAACCTGCCCAGTAAACACAGCAGCAAAAATATGGTCATCTTCATGAGTTGCAATAAAAAAACCGCACTCGCCTTGATCTTGGGACAATCAGTAATACCAAGTGGGGAAATCCCTTAGTTTGCAAGGGCAGGAATGGAAAGTGCATATAAAGATGGTAAATGGAAAACAAAAGGGCTAAAGGGGGTAATTGTTGTAGTTTTTTCGAAAATTTGATGCAGAAGTATTCATAGTTCCAAATTTCCCCATCATTTTTTTTTCTTGGAGGGATTTCTTTCGTCTTCTTCCTTACTCCTTCCACGCCCGTGAAAGATTTCTATCTAAAACGTACAATTTACGCAATAAATTTTGGCCTCTTTGAGAGATTTTAACATTTTCTATTATAATTTTAGGAGAATCCCAGTTAAGTGATATTCCTGATCCGTTGGGAACCAAATTGATATATTATTTTGTCCATGGACTACATTGTAAATCCATAAATCTGAAATTGGTGGCAAATGCAGAATGCACAAAGCTCTTGCAACAGAGCAAGCATCAATGATGTACTATCAAACTACGTATGAAGATTAGTTACAAGAGCAAGGCAGAAGGCCCAAAGCTTTTGGTACAGTGCAATTTAGGGTTGACTTCATACTAAATAAAGCATACATTTTTTAAGATTAGTTTGAGATCTCTTATTCTCTAGTTTTGTATTATCGAAACACCAGGAAATGGAACTTCATCCCGAAAGAGTAATGAAAATCCAAACTTTTTATTGTTATTATTTTCGAGAAATCCAAACTTAATTACTGTAATGTACATTCACGATCAGTTTCAAAGGTCTAGGAAGGAATTCTCGGGCTTGAAGCCTGAAACTATACAAGAGGCATCTATTTCTTTGCCCATGAGGAACATCTGCTTCTTTATATTTGTATTATGTATATGAACAACCATTAGTTGTCAAGGTCTGGAAGACAATAGTCGTGAGCAATCAATGCAGCTTCCATTTGAGGCCATCATATAAAGGCTGACAAAACCTAGCTACCTGCATTGCAACATCCTGATATGGAGTGATCTAAGATTCCAAAGTTCCATACTTGATGAAACAACTGTGAAGCTTGGAAAAGCTAGACTGCAGGTGCGATTCGGTTCTTGATGAGGAAAGGATGTTTACCTTTTACTAATCATGAATCATCAAATTCGCACTAATCCGACAGCATCACTTCTGCCTATTCTTTTTGAGCTTCCATTGTTTTCTGATCACAAGTTAGCATAATAGTAATGTTAGATGTCATTTTTAGCAATAACCATTTAAGCCAAAAATAAGATATAAGGTACTGACAGCAGCTAGTACTGTAACGTACTTGGAAATTTTAGCATTTGTGCTTGATTCGTCCTTTAGACAGAGTGATGCAAGTGATTTTGACGGCTGCACAGCATCAGCTTCACTGCAGCTGCCCTGAGGAGCACTACAGGAGCCCACTGTCCATCTCATTGGAACAACCAAATTCCTGGAGCAGAAATGGAAAACTGATAAGCAACATATCATATCATATCTAAGAAGGAAAAATATCTTGAAAGCATTGCATTTAAGTTACCCCTCCATGGATTTGTATAAGCAGCAATTCATCTGCTCCTCTGTATAATTCCGAAATAAGGTGTCGAGACTCATAGCTAGTTTTGGTATACCAGATGATGGTAAAATATCCCAAACCTTCAAAACTTGAATGTAGAATGAATTTTCCTGCAGAATGTCCACAGTCCAGATGATATTTAGCTGCCCACTAACTTTATACTGCTCTAACAGTGGGGAAGAAATCCCATTGTGAGCAATTAGGCTTCTCTTATTGCGAGACTGACGCCAACCATTTGAAACCTTCGCTAATAGAGAAAGCACTTCCTTACAGATTCTGACATTCCTAACTCTTGCCACCGATCTCCGAAAATCATCACTGAAACAAACCTGTATTAAAATGCAGGTAACCATTAATTAATACTTGGCATGAAAGAATGACATTACTGTGGACTAAGAAGCAATATTATCTGTTTTGAAAAATAGATTTTCCTCATTCCATGAACCACTAGGGTAAGCTAACCTTGTATTTTCTGTAAATTTTTTTAAAAAACTTCAAGAATACTAAAAGATAATTAGCTTACCGTCCATCTTGCATTCCTGAACAATGGAGAGTCAGTTTTTAATAAAACGTCAAGTTGATCAAGCTCAATCAAGCTATCAGTAATAGTCTGAGCCAAACTCTCATCCTCTTCAGCATTATAGAAGCATTGCCGTTCCTTGGCATCATTGACAATCTTCTTCCAAATAGATCCACTCTTAACTAAAGTTGCTTCATTTCCTAATATCCAAAGGCAATACCTGCACCCCAAAAATTTACAAGTTCAAATAGGAATGGAGAAAAAGAAACAGAAAAGAAGCTTTTGAGCTTCTGATGTTTAGTTACTAATTTAATACCTTGCACGAGTCAGCGCCACATTTGCTCGTTGAAGATTCGAAACAAAACCCACTAATCCTTTTTCATTACTTCGGACAGTAGAGATAATTATCAAATCCTCCTCGCCACCCTGAAAACCATCAACCGTGCCAACACTTGCAGAAAAGGCACTGTCAGAATCTGAAACGAACTTCCCAATCTTCTCTTGAATTGCATGAACTTGAGCCTGGTATGGTGATATGATACCTATGCTAGCCTTCATCTCAGGGCCATTGATTTCTGTACCATAAAAATGAAGTCAGAATAATTCTGTAAATTAATAGTTACAACAGAAACATCTGATATTTCTAAGTAGTACCTTTGAAAAGCCTCCCAACAATATCAGCAACAACAGCAGCCTCAACCATATTCTTGAAACTCTGTTGCTCGCCAAATTCCTCTTTTCCATAGGCTATATTTATGAAAGAGTAGGATCCAAACAAGTCTCCTTTGAGAAACCGTCTCCTGTAGCCTGTTTCTTTGACATTTGGTGCATCAAAAATTTGTCTGCCATAGAACTCCGTATTCGGGAATAAGCTTATTGATGGATGCATTCGGTATTGAATGTTGAGAAGGTGGCTCTTGCATCCCAACTTTATGAGCCTCTCAAACAAACTTCTACCAAAACCAGCCTCCTCAGAAATCTAATCGGGGTGCATTTTAAGTATGTTATGATATGAGAAAGTAAACGGTTTTTATGACATCAAAAGATAAAGAGGATCAGAACCATAAAGGCAAATCAAAACCTTGCTATTAACGGTTGCACGCAATTGCCGCTCATCTCCTACGAGAATAGCATGGTGAAGGCCAGAGAGTTGTAAGGGGATTGTTGATTCACATTCTTTGAGCTGAGCAGCTTCGTCAATTACCATGAACTGCAGAGGTGCCAGTCCTTTCATATGCAGCTTGGCAGAGCTTGACGCAGTACAGAAAACCAGGCATGCATTCGATAAGCAGAATTTTTCTATCACATACTTATCCTTGAATTTTGGAACATTAAATTTCAGTGCAAGTAGACAAAGAGAATTGAGGCACTCCCTTTTTACATTTCTCAACTTTATATGATTATAAATTTTGCTTTCTGCATCTTCATTTTCCCCGAGAATCTGCTTTAAACCTTCTTTGGCAGAACTGGCACTAAGCAACAAAGTTTCAAGTGATTTCATCAAATCAAGAGCTCTGGTCATGATCTTCATCACTTCTAATGAAATCAAAGTAGTCGGTAGATGTGTATACAAATTTACAATACAGAACTTTAATTGCTCTCCCAAGAAGTTGAATCTTTTCGATACAAATCGCTCATAAGTCCAAGGATCTTCATTCCTCATGTTATCTTGCAAGTACAAATCGTATTGTTCTTCGGAGTTTTCAAGTAAACATTTCATTGATGCTAAACTGTGGTTCCATCCAGACAATGGATCAAAGCACTTCTCAAGTATATCAGCACGATGATCAAGAAATACATGAAGAAGGCCATTCTGATCATCATCAATCTTCATTCGCTCCCGATTCCCAAACAGAACTATGTCTCCCATCCCATAAGTTTCAGATCCAACTGCATTGGCAACTGTCCTCAAGACACAAGCCGCCACTTCTAACACTGCAATGTTAGTTGGAGCACATGTAAGTGTTCTGCATTTCATTCTTACTAGCGAGTATAATAAGAAACTAACTGTCTTCGTTTTCCCAGTTCCTGGAGGGCCCTGCACTAATTTGACAGTATACCCATGACAGCATCCAGCTGTGTCAATACAGCTTAAAACCACAGCTTCTTGCGAGTTGTTTAAATTAAAAGACTGTAATGTATCCCTTATGCAGGTAGAGGCAGCATCATTATTTTCACTAGAAGAGCAGATGGTACATTTTCCACCATCCTGCAAGAAGTATATACAATGATCAGTTATAAATGCAGTCAAACTCAACACAGAAATGAATACAACAAACAGATTTGCCATCTTCAAAGCTGGGATTAGAAAAATGAGATGCTGAAACAAGAAACCAGAATCATGGTCTTCTTACAGTGAAATTATTTTGCAGCAATTTCTTAATAATGTTCATGCTCTTCCCTTCTAGTTCCAATTTCAACGCCTTCCATATACGCAAATTTGTCGTCAGATTACTCAAATGAACAGCAAAGAGTGTTCCCATCTTCAAGTCTTCAGCATCCACAATTGGCTTGGATGACAGAATCAAGGGTGTCAAACCATTTTCCCCTTTCACGGCATAAACGAAAGCAACAAGATAGGATTGCTGAGGCCTTCTTAAATCATCAAAGCACTTTGGTTTGACATTTGTTAGGGCAATTAGATCTCCAAACCCAGGCACATATCCACCTCTGGTTCTTTCCACCGAAATTTTGTAAAACAAGTCTTTAAGTGGTTTATAACCATGAGATTTTCTAACACACAATATTTTACAAGTTGGTGCTCCAGCCAGTGATTCTATACTTGAGCACAAATCTGCATGTGTATCCTCCAGAAGGGATGGTAGGAAGGTGTTCATGTATTGAGCTGTTGACTTGAAAGACTCTGGGATCTTCTCCACCTATTAGGGGACAATGTCAGAGTTCAGAATCTATCTCAAGCTTGTAATCTAGCAAGCAAGAAATCTTTGTATGAATTCTCAGGAACTTATTTTACAAAACTTTGAAATTTGCAGTAAAAATCATTGGTTTTGACAGAATTTAAATCCAAAAGCTCTACAAAGATCATACAATCAAAAGATGGAACAAAATTGTGATCATCCTACTCTATTTTCCATAACTACAAGCCTAGCAAGCCAATATATCTTAGCAGTGGACAGAGAGAAAAATGTTGCGAAGTAACAAACCTGGTCTTTGTAAAGATCCTTATTGAGCACATCTTGAATAGACCAGGAAAACACTGAATCTAAAAACCCTCTACCCTTGACCTCTTCCCTCTTCACGTGGTCAGTTCTCTTCTCCATTGATTCACTATTACATATTCATCAGCTGCTCAAAAAAACACAACAACATTTTGGTCATTATGGGCTGCAAAACAAAACACAAAGTCAGGCAGACAGAACCAAACCCAGAACAATATATTAAAGACTTCAGCTTGGGCAAGAAAAGTATATGCCCAACAAGATGGTGCTTTGCTTAAGGAAAAAAACAAGACTAAATTGATTTAAAATGCATTTCTTTTATTGACTTCATGCAACTTTCTTTTTCCATCTTTAGTCTTTAAAATTTCTCTACTTTTATACTTCAGTCTTTCTCCCTCGTACGTGGTCTTTGTTAATTAAGGATACGGAGAAAAGAATAACTGTGAGTAAATTTCATTGTTATCCCTGCAGATCCACAAATGTTCCATACCTGTCCTCGTAATTCAAAATTTCCTTAATAATTTCTTTAGTTTCTTGAAGTTTTAATGTTACACCTACTCCATTTAAGGCTAAATGGGTTAAATCACCCCTAAACTTTAATTTATTTGAGGTTTAGTCTATGCACTTCAAAATTGGTTTTGAACATCTTTGAATTTTAAGTCTTTTGAAATCAAAACGGATCATATGCACGTGCAAATCACATGACTTTCCACCAAACAAAAAAAAGCTCACTCTTCTTCACACGCGAACACAAAATCAACTCCTTCAGAAACTCTCTCCCTCTCTCTCTCTCTCTCTCTGCAAAATCACAGTAACAAAAATCAACACCTTCAAAAACAAAAATAATTCATGAGGAGAAACAGTTCAAAATCCAAAACCCACAAACTTGCAAGTCTCACCAACTCGTGAATCAATCTCCCCCAAGCTCTCGATCTGAATCTGCAAGTATTTCTCATAACACTCAAAAAATTTATCAACTTGACCCAGCATTGAATAAGTATCCCCCAACTGCGTATACCCACTAAACCCAGCAAGTGCATGATCCACTCCTTTACTCAAATCAGGCACTTTAATGGCCCTTTCAAGCACAGGAACTGCCTCTTCAAACCTGCCTAAATTACAATAAATAGCACCCAAAACACGAAGACTCATAACAAGATACGAACTTGGCTCTTCTCCTTTCTCAATTGTCACTCTTTCAAACGAATTTGATGCTCTAATTGCATAGTCCAACGCCTTAATGGGTCCTTCACTGGATGCAATGGTGTCACGGGCGAGCTTTAAGAGAAACGGGTCAAGATTGGGGTTGTCCAAGGAAGGATCCGAGAGGAGAGTACTCGGGTTGGGAGAATCTGGTGGGGGTTTTTCGGCGGAGCGGGCAGGGGAAGGATTTGATCGAGATGGGGAAAGAGATGGGGGTTTTCAGGAAGTTGGGGCTATGGGTTGTTGTTCTGGCATGGTTGTCTTGTGGGAGATTTGCAAAGAGATAGAGAGAGAGTGAAGCAGGGTGAGAGTTCAACAAGTTGCTTGGCGACAAATTCAGCCAACTCAACGCGTCCATGAATTCTACAAGCACCAAGCAGAGAGCGCCAAATGGCCCCATCTGGTTTCATTTGCATATTCTTCGTCAAGGTTTCTGCTTCATCAAACAACCCAGCTCGACCTAGAAGATCTATCATGCATCCATAGTGTGGCAACTTTGAAGAAAGAAATCTTGTAATCTTGGATCATTGAACTAAAATACCTGCTTCCAAGACGTAGAAAACCAGCATGCTTACTAGCTAACAGCACGCCAACAAAAGTGATGCCATCTTGTACAAATCCCTCCTCAGTCATTCTAGAGAAAAGTCCAATCATAACATTCCAGGAGACCACATTCTTATCTTGCATTCCCTCAACCAGATTGCTGGCTTCTTCCGAATCTCCACATTTAATATACATATCAATAAGTCCGTTTACAAGCCTAAAATTTGATCCAACTCCATGATCCTCAATCCAAGACCGAACCCAATTGCCCAGTTGAAGAGAAGATCCTGACTGAGCACAAGCTGAAAGGATACTAAGCATTGTGCTCACATTAGGTGTAACCTTTGCTCTAAGCATCTCTTCAAAAATGCTATTGCCTCTTCAACTCGACCACTCTGAGCATACCCAGTATTCATAGCATTCCAAGACACAACATCTCTAACAGGAATTTCATCAAACAGCTCTCGAGCATCATCCAAAAAACCTTTGAAGCATACCCAGTAATCAAATTTGTGAAAGAAACAGCATCTCTCATATAACTTTTCTAACACTAATCTCGAATCAACCAAATCACCATTTTGAGCATACACGTTAATCAACGAAGTATGTACAAAGGCATTACGTTCAAGTCCAAGCTTCAACACATGTGCATGGACCTGTTTCCCTTCGTGGGCAACTTTAATTTTCGCGCATCACTTCAAAATAGAAGGAAAAGTACGTTCATTTGGCTGCGTACCGAAACTAATTATATGAATATAGTATTCTAAAGCTAAAAAGGGGGCTCACTCAATCAGAGGCCCTTTATCATATGATTCCAGATTACATGATTGGGGTTTTGAATGGTTTCGAAGAGTGAGATAGCGTAAGGGAGGTCGCCGTATGGAGAAACAGCGCAAAACTTGGTGAGCTTGTTAAGTGCAAAATGGGTGTTGTGGAGGGCAGATTTGATGATTTGGGAGTGGATTTGTTTGGGAGTTTGGAGGGTTTTGCAAGCTGGAAAGGAGAGTTAGGGAGGGATGATTTTGAACAGGTTTGTATGGCGGAAAAGGATCGGACAAGGAAAGAGCATGGAGAGCACTTATGGGTGCACATGCTCCGTGAAAAATAACGGAATGGACTTAATTTCAAAACGTTTAAGGTTCAGGGATCTCTAAAATTAATTTTAAAATTTAAAGACATTAAAATTAAAGTATGGTTTGACTCATTTAACTTACATTTAAATAATTAGGACAACTCAATTTTTTAATTTTTTTTCACATAATTTTTTTTCTTCATTTTAGCCTTTAAGTCCAAATATTCAAAGAATTACAATATTCTAACCCATAAACATTTTCAATTGTTTTCACCTTTGAATTTTTGTTCTAATTTTGTCATGGGCCAGACTAAAATCTCATTAGCTAATTAATTATCAATGGCAAAATTGAAACATTTTGAAAACTATGGGATTGATATTGAAAAAGTTAAACTATAAGGATAGAAATGGAGCATTAATGAAGCTATAGGTTTTATTTACCTATACCTATATGTAGGGAACAGTTTTGCAAGATAATCAAATGGTCCATTCAAAAAATAAATAAATAAAAAGGTAATCAATTGGCAGGTAAAGAAAGAGGAGAAGAGTTTTAAAGTTGAAGGACTGAAATAGACTTCTTCTTTTTCCTTTTTCTTTTTTTGAAAAGTTACAATTGAATATTTAGCTTAATAATAAAAAAATAAATGCATTTTTTATTTGATGTTTAGAGTATTAGTCTTTTTTTTCGTTTAATAATAAAAATATTTTCAAATAACTTTTATGTACTTTAAAACTAATCTCTCTAGATATGATGACAAAAAAACACTCTTCAACGACTTTCGATATTTTGAGAATAAATTCTCAAGTTAGGTTTTACATCTTAATATTATATCATTTTCAATCAGACTTTAAGCATATTATTTACATTTAATTTTCTTAATTAATATTATTTTTTATTTCCCAACTGGAATTAGAAGGGTAAATCAGTGACTGTGAGCGTGCTGAGGCCCAGCATGTTGTAATGGGCTAGGATCTGATTGCTCTCAAGCTGGGCCTTTTTAGTAGCAAATATTCACCATTTGGGCCAAGCTTCCATTCCTATTATGCATGAAGCTTGATGCCCTGTAACATGTACAGTATTTGTGAGCCAATTGCCCAGTAAATTTTCAGATTTCTAAAATAAAAACATCAACCTTTAATTGATGTCTAGGAAAAAAAAAAAAAAAACATCTTCATTGATTTTAACAACCTTTTTGTAACGAAGTAGATTTGCCATAGTTTGACATTGTCAAACAAATGTATAGCTATAACCATAGAAAACACAAGGAGGATTTCCTTCTGTTCAGTCAGACAGCTGCAACTTCCATACCAGGAACTTGGAGACCAACCTGAGGAATCAAATTGCTATCTTACACAATAGACAAAAAAAGGGATTTTTTAGAAATATTTTGACAAGAGTACTGAAGATGTTCTTACCACATAAATTCTTACTTGCCCTTCACCAGCTAGGCTTTGATCATCTTCCTGCACTGCTAAATCCATAATTCTTGGACCTCCAGGGCTGCCTGATATTCATGAATATCATACAAGAATCAGTGGTTTGACGAGCTAATAGAGATGTAGGTTGAAGCTTAGACTACATAAAGTTGATCTTTCTCTTGTTCTTCTTCGGAGAAATTCTACGTTAAGACTTGTGAAACAGATTGTTCAGAAACTCAGATTTCATACCTACTAGTTGTTGCTGGAGCTTCTGATTCATCCCTGATAACAAGTGAAGCGAATGGTTGTGACAGAAGTTGTGCAGGATCGGTTTCAGGATTATTATTCTCGGCATCATCACCGAAACCCATTGACCATCTCATGGGAACAACCAAATTCCTGTCATTCAAAAATGAGAAAGTAATGATAATTGACCTTTTGTTGCTTCAGGCCAGCAGCAAGTACATGTTAAGTGGAGAATGCCCTGTCCCATTCGAGCCTAATTTCACACAGTAATGGACGTTTTTTGATGGATTCCAACTGCTGAAGTCAACTTGCTACTGTATAATACCAGAAGAATGAAGATAGAAAAACACATACCCTTCTATACATTTGTGTCTGCAGCGATTCATCTTATCCACGGTATAATTCCCAAAGACAGCATCGAGACGCCTTGCTAGTTTTGGTGAATCATGTAATGGTAAAATATCCCACACCTTGAGAATTTGAGTGTTCTTGGAGTTTTCCGTGATGATGTCCACTGTCCAAATGATATTGAGCTGGTCATTGACTTTGTATTGTTCTAACAGTTCAGAAGAAGTTCCTTGTCGGACGATGATGTTTCTGTCATTGGGAGACTGACGCCAGCCACTTGAAAGCTTTGCCAACAAAGAAATCACTTCCCGACGAGCCTCATTTCCCACTCTCAAAATGGATTTCCGAAAATCGTCACAGAAGCAAAACTTTAATGGAAAAAAGATTGAGGTGATAAGGTAAGAATCCAAAGACTAGTATTCAGCTTGAGACAAGAAAGTGAGAATTCAGAAATTTGAGAGGCAAGAAAAACCAGCATACATACCTTCCATCTTGCATTTCTGAACAGTGGAGAATTCACATTCAACACAGCATCAAGTTGGTCCAACTCTAACAAGGCATCCATTATAGCCAATGACAAGCTTTTATCCTCATCAGCATTATAGAAACACCCCCGTTCCTTAGCGTCAGCAACTAATTTATTCCAAATAGAGTAACTGTTGACAAGAGTTGCTCCATTTCCCAATATCCACAGGCAATACCTTAGTTACACAGAACATCATAAATTGTTATTCGTAATAACCAATACGTACATGCATGCATACACATGAACATGCTTACAACACTAGTATTTAACTTCTGGTATTTGGGAATAATACCTTGCACGGGTCAAAGCCACATTTGCTCTTTTGCGATTGGAAAGAAAACCCACTGATCCATTTGCATTACATCTGACTGTAGAGATAATTATAACATCCTCCTCGCCGCCTTGAAATCCATCGACTGACCGGACATTTACAGCAAAGTCGCTATATGCACTGTAAGTCGTTCCAATTTTTTCTTGAATTGCGTACACTTGAGCGTTGTATGGTGATATTACTCCTACGCTCATTTTCTTTCTTGCCCTCTTAAATTCTGCAATGGAAAGGAAAAAAAACATTTAGCTTTCCCACTAGCCAATCAAAAGGTAAAACCAATAGCTATGTCATATATTTGATTTCCCTAACAGAATTTGTTAAAAAAATCCAATAGTTTCTGAGATGACCCAAATGCATACCTTTAAAAAGGCTTGCAACTATCTCTGAAACTACAGCAACCTCAACCAAATTTTTCATGCTCCTCCCGTTGTTCAATTGCTCTTTCCCACTGGCTACATTAATAAATGAGTAAGGGCCATACATATTTCCTTGAAGGAATTGTTTCTTATAGTTTCTTTCTTTGACATTTGGAGCATCCTGTATTAGCCCATCATAGAACACTTTATTTGGGAATAAGCTTATAGATGGATGCATCCTATACTGCATATCCAGAAGGTGTTTCTTGTGACCCAGTATGACCAATCTCTCAAACAAACTCCTCCCGAATTCGGCTTCCTCGGAAATCTGATAAAGGCATGTGAAAAAAAATATTAAAACTTAAAGCTTATAAATTACCTAGTAAATGGGGTGCAAGAAAGAACCTCATCACCTTGCTTTGAACCATGGCAGGAAGTTGGCGCTCGTCGCCTATGAGAACAGCATGGCGAAGACCAGAAAGTTGCAATGGAATGGTCGATTCACATTCTTTAAGCTGGGCAGCTTCATCAATAACCAACAATTGTATCGGTGTCATTCCTTCTGTGTGCAACTTGGCAGAGCTTGAAGCAGTGCAGAAAACCAGACATGCATTTTTCAAGCAAAAATTTCTGATTTCATAACTTTCAAAAAAATTTGGAACTTCAAATTTTCGAGGAAGTGAATTCAGTATCACAATGCTTTCCTTTCTTCTAGTGGCCAACCATGAAAATTTAAAAACACTGCTTCCTTCATCTTCAAAATCATTGAGGACTTGCTTTAAACCTTCATCTCCAACAGTAACACCATTCAACAAGCGTTTTAGGCAACTGAGCGAATCAAGAGCTCTAATCATGTTCTTCACTACTTCTAATGAAATGAAAGATGTTGGCAAGTGTGTATATAAACCTACAATTAAAAATTCCAGCTTCTCATAAAGGATTTCGAACCTTTTCTTTACGAATTCTTCAAACGGGAGTATATCTTCCTTGTTTTCCTTGCCATCTTTATCTGCCTTTCCCTCACGCTTTTGAAGCTTCTCTTGATAAGAAGAAAACATTCGTTTCTGTTTTTCAGTTTTCTTGTTGTCTTTCAAGGCCTGCAAAAGAACTTTCTTCAGAGCTTTCCTTCTGCTCATGCCCTTGTGATTTTGATCACTGACCTCTTCATCTTTCTCTTTGCTTCTGTTCATCTCTTCAGTTTCAAGCATTCCATCATCCTGATACTTCCCCTCCTCGTTCTCTTTTTTCACAATTTGCAAGTACTGACTGTACTGCTGCTCAGGATCTTCAAGCAAATTTATCAATGAGTCTACGGTGTGCTTCCACCCAGTCGATGGGGCAAAGCAATGATATAGTACTTCAACGCGATGGTCAAGAAATATATCTTCAAGATCAGCTTTCTCAGAGATCTTCATTCGCTTCCTGTTCCCAGATAGAATTATATCCCCCAGTCCATAAGTGTCATATTCAAGAGAGTCTGTAACTAGGCTTAGGAGTCTCGACGTCACTTCCAACACAGCAATATTGGTTGGAGCACATGTAAGTGTCCTGCACTTCAATTTAAGTAGACAATGCAATAATAAACCAACCGTCTTCGTTTTACCCGTCCCCGGAGGACCCCAAATTAGTTTGACAGTACTTCGATGTTGGCATGCACTCAGACCAATGCAGCTTGCAATTGCATCTTCCTGTGAGACATTTAAATTGGAAGAGCTGATTATGGTTTCTTCCACACCATAAAGTGTAGCACTTCTATTCCCTTCAGATAAGCAGTGAGCACAGTCCTGGCCATCCTGCAGTAGCAGTTAGACAAGAGAATGATTAGAATATAGCAAAAAATTCCACATATCAAGAAAAATGAATCACCCTTCTTACAGCTGAATTAGTTCGAAGCAAATTCTGAATGATGTTCATGTTTCCTCCCTCAAGCTCTGAGTTCAATGATCTCCACACGCGAATATTTGTCGTCATGTTCGCAAGGTAAACGACGAATACATTGGCTTTTTTGTTCTTTTGCATTCCTTGTCCAGCAATGACAGACTCCTTTTTATTTTGTTTGTCTTCTAATTCAAATTCAATGGATTTGGATGTGAGAATTGACAACATTTCATGATTCTCGTCATCATCTTCATCATCATCTAGGCCATTCGATAGCCTATGAACATAAGCAAGAAGATAGTTTATCTCAGGCCTGTTCAAATCATCAATGTCTTTCGGTCTTACATCTGTCAAAGCAAGGAGATCTCCAACCTCAGGCTCGTATATTCCTTTCCCATTCCAATTGTTTCTCATTCTTTTCAACCAGATCTTATAAAACAAGTCTTTCGGAGGATTATACTCTTTTGATTTTTCTATTGAAAAGATCTCTCTTATTGGTGCTTGGGAGACCATTGCCATGTTTGAGCATAAGTCCGCACGAGTTTCCTCGATTAACGCTGGAATGAATGACTTCATGTAATGTGTCCTTGACATGAATGTCTGTGGTATCTTCTCCACCTGTTAGGTGAGCAATTTAGAGTCAGACGTCGAATGCAAGAAAACAGGAAAAGAAAAGGCACATTCGCTAGAGCAAGAAATAATTGAGCGTTCTTGCAGTTGGACATAATTGGCTTGTAACAAAGAACTGCAATTTCCAGTTTCTGTCAACTATTCTTAAGTCACTTCTAAAAATTACAAAGAGATGGAAAGAAATCAGTACTATAAATGAACCTCAGAGATGAAAGAATTATGTTTTACTAACCAATGGATGCTTAGCTTACTGGTATCACCTTTTCAAAGAAGGGGAAAGGGATCAAGTCCCAAGTTCATGCAAAGATAACCTTGTTTCAGCAAAATCATCATGTCACGATTTCCCTTTTATCAACTTGCCAAATCTAATCAGTAAAAATAGAACTTATACAGACTTTGCTGCCTATTAAACAGCCAGACTTTGACCAAAAAACCCATCTACAAATTAAAAATGTAATTAAAGCATACACATTAACATAAGCATAATAGTATGCCTGCAAACCTGATTTTTGTAAAGATCTTTGCGAAGTACATCCCTGATAGACCAAGTGAACACAAAATCTACTAAGCTTCTACCCGCAACTTCTGCTTCGGTTTTTGCTACCGTCTCTTTCTCCATCGTTTCACCTCTCTAGTTAGCTTCTGTAAAATGAGCGAGGAAAAAGAAAAAACCTCCTAGCTTATAAAGAAATGATGGAACAACGGATTGCTTATAAGTGAAGCAACCAACCAACAGTAAGACCAGTACAGATATTTACTTTGGAATGATGCTGCTTTTTCTAAAGCTACCAAAAATCTAAATACATGAAAAGAATGTACGTACGATGATTTAAAGAAAATGGGCCAGAGATTCCTGAAGACAGGGAAAGTGGACTATAATGTGGCCGTTCCTTATGATGTGTACTAACTGGAGAACCAACGAGTAACCTTAGATCGTCTCCTTGTCTGAATAGAAGGTCAAATTATGACCAAGAATAGCAAATCAGAACAGCAAAGAAGAACCTTTTTTTTTTTTTTTTTTTTTTTTTTGTAGAGAGAAAAGAGAAAATGTAGAGACGAGAGAACGAGCTCTCCAAATATGTAAAAAATGGCTTCCAAATAGAATATAAAGCTTTCAATCTAACAGCTAGAAATGTTCTTCCAACAATCATCTAATGGCTTCTAGAGAGCAGCATATGCAAGTAGATGCTAGTTATGGAGTACTAATAACAAGTGGATTTTACATCATTGAACATCGCAAAACCATTTTTAATATTTTCGATCTATGTTGCAACAGGTAGGTAAAGATTGAAGAAGACTTTAATGGGAAAGCAATAGAAAAATGATGAAACCCTTACCAAAGTCGCTTCAATGAAAAGTGTTAGATGTGTTTGACCTATAACATATTACATAACTTATTTAACGTAAAATGAATAAACAATGATTAATATATAAAATTAAAAAAACAAAAACTTAAGTCTTTTAAATAAAATTTAATTTTAATTATCTAACTTTATATAATATTAAAATTTTAAAAAAATTCAACGGTGAAATAAAGATTCGAAACTCAAATCACTTGAAAAACTTTAAAAAATAGGCATTAAATAAGAGAAAGTATTAAAAAACTTATTTCATATAAAATAAATAAATAATTAATATATAAAATTGAGAAAGTATCACCTATCATAAAATTTTAATTTTTTAAATAAAACTCAATCAACTGTTTACCTTAATATATCATTTATCTAAGGTTTCGTTCAGGAAAGAACACGTTGACTTACAGTCAAACAAATGTAAATTAAAGTAATATTCCAAGTTTTGGCCTACATGGAAACTACAAAATCTGGTGTTTTCCATTGCTTGCTTTATTACTGTTAATTGCTTTTTTTCTAACTTTTCAAAATCTCTCTTCAATTCAATTGGTTGCATTATTTAAAGTTATAGCATCGGGAAAAGGAGAGGAATATAGAGAGGAAGCTTTCGTACTAGGAAGCCAAAGGACTTTTCCTGGTTATCGCGAATCAGATAAAGCGTCCTCATTACTATGTATTTTCCTTCGTTGTGGCCAGATTGGGTGTTTGGTGGTGGAAACGACAGGAATGGATGCGTACATTACGATTTACGATGATGCTTTAAATTCTGTCCCTTTTCCTAGGAACCCATAATTTCTTCCCACAAATGTAAGAAAATACAAGATCAACTTGTAATCTTGTAGTCATATTTTCTGAAGTGTGAAGCCCAAATGAGTGTGAATAGGAAGCAAAATGTTCAACCCAGTTTCTGATTTTCACATATAATTACAACCCATCTTTGCTAACAATATCACCATCAAGCTTCATTATGTAGAGCATTATATTACGTTGTTGTTGCGGCTATTCATGTGAAACAGTGTTTCAGGTTTGATGACGTCGAAAAAACGGTGATGGCTCTTACTGTTTCCTAGCCGTTATTTAAAACCATGATTTACATCCAGCAATCCAAAATTGCATCTTACGAGTCATCGAACCTGAGATGTGGCTACGCTGAAAAACAAGAAATTAAGCAGTCAAATGCTCTATTCTGGTGAATTCTAAACATCTAAATGTAAAAATTTCCAACACTAGAGCAATAAATACTAATACTGAAAGTATTCCTACATAAGCTCATTTCCATTTTTCAGCATGTTCTTTCGAAAACATCAAGCTCCATCCCATTTTGATAGGAACAACAAAGAAAGCCAAACGTATCTTTTTGTAGACAAAGATATTTTTATAATTCCTGGAAAATCTGAAAATTTGTCAAAGTATAGATGTTGTTTTCTATTTAGAATTTTATTAGTTCTGATCAGTAATTAGCTTTATTAGGTTTTTTCTATTCTACGTGGACTTAGCATTTGCATTTGGAATACTAGAACTCTATAAATAAGCATGTAGAATCTGCTTACCATAGAACTCTACATTTGGAAACAAGCTTATTGATGAATGCATTCTGTACTGAACATTCAGAAGGTGTTTTTTGTGTCCTAATTGTGCCAGCCTTTGGAATAAACTTCTTCCAAATTCAGCCTTCTCAGAAGGATACTACGCATTGTCCTCACATTAGGCGTAACCTTTACTCTAAGCATCTCTTCAAAAAACGCTATTGCCTCTTCAACTCGACCGACCGTTCTAAGCATACCCAGAATTCATAGCATTCCAAGACACAACATCTCTGATAGGAATTTCACCAAACAGTTGATTAAGAGCAAAACTCCATGAGCTTGTTAAGTGCAAAATGGGTGTTGTGGAGGCCAGTTTTGATGACTTGGGAATGGACTTGTTTGAGAGTTTGGAGGGTTTTGCAGTTGGAAAGCAGCATTAGAGAGGGATGATTTTGAACAAGTTTGTTAATAAAGCAGAATGAGAAGAGTTTTAAAGTTGAAGGACCGAATAGACTTTTTTTTTGTTTCTTTTTTGAGAAGAATTGAATATATTAGCTTAATTATCAAAAACAGAAATGCATTTTTTATTTGATGTTATTTTTTTTTTTAGGTTCAACAATAAAGATGTTTTCCGAACATTTTTTACATATTTTAAAACTAATTTCTCTAAATATGATTAAAGAACACTTCTCAATACATAACTTCGAATATTCTCGACTAGTTTTTACATTAGTTTAAAGTTGAAGAACCGAATAGACTTTTTCTTTCTTTCTTTTTTGAGAAGTAAGAATTGAATATATTAGCTTAATTATCAAAAACAGAAATGCATTTTTTATTTAATTTTTAGGTTCAACAATAAAAATGTTTTCCGAACAATTTTCGTATATTTCTAAACTAATTTCTCTAAATATAATTGAAGGATACTTCTTAATACATAACTTTGAATATTCAAAGAATAAATTCTCGATCAGTTTTTACATATGAATGTTATACCATTTTCAATTGGACTTTGAGAAGATTATTTACATTAAATTTTCTTAATTAATACTATTTTTTTCTTTTCCTACTTGGATTAGAAGGGTAAATCAGTGACCGTGAGCTTGCCAGGGCCTAGGCTGTTGTAATGGGCTAGGATCTGATTGCTCCCAAGCTGGGCTTTTTCAGTATCAAATATTCACCCTTTGGGCCAAGCTTCAATTCCAATTATGCTTGAATCATGTACAGTATTTGTGAGCCTAATGCCCAATAATTTTTTTCATATTTCTAAAATAAAAACATCAACCTTAAACTGATGTCTAGAGACAAGAAAAAAAAAAGTCTTCGTTAATTTTAACAACCTTTTGCAACACAAATAGATTTACCAGAGTCTGACACTGTCAAAACAAATATATAGCTATAACCATAGAACATGCAAGAAGGACTTCCTTCTGTTCAGTCAGACAGCTGCAACTTCCGACCAAGAACTTGTAGACCAATCTGAGGGATCAAACTGCTATCTCACACATTAGAATAAAAGAATATTTTTAAAAAAATATTTTGACAAGAGTACTGAAGATGTTCTTACCACATTAATTCTTACTTGCCCTTCACCACCTAGGCTTTGATCCCCTTCCTGCACTGCTAAATCCATAATTCCTGGACCTCCAGGGCTGTCTGATATTCATGAATATCATAAAAGAATCAGTGGTTTGACGAGCTAACAGAGAGTTAGGTTGAAGCTTAGACAAGACAAAGTTGATCTTTCTCTTCTTCTTCTTTCGGAGAAATTCTACATTAAGACTTGCTAAACAGATTGTTCAGAAACTTAGTATTGCATACCTACTAGTTGTTGCTGGAGCTTCTGATTCATCCCTGATAACAAGTGAAGCGAATGGTTGTGACAGAAGTTGTGCAGGATCGGCTTCAGGATTATTACTCTCGGCAGCATCACCGAAACCCATTGACCATCTCATGGGAACAACCAAATTTCTGCCGTTCAAAAAATGAGGAAGTAATGAGAATTGACCTGTTGTTGCTTCAGGCCATCAGCAAGTATATGCTAAGTGGAGAATGCCCTGTCCCATTCTCCATCAGCTAATTTCACACAGAAATGGACGTTTAGGCTAATGGTATTCTTTCTTGGAAAGCAAGAGGCAGGAGAGAGGTATCAGGTTTGAGAACAGCCCTTAATTCTTAGAAATGGAAAAAATAATAGCAGGTTTTTTGCTGGATTATTTCCAACTGCTGAAGTCAACTTGCTACTGTGTAATACCAGAAGAATGAAGATAGAAAAATGCATACCCTTCGATACATTTGTGTTTGCAGCGATTCATCTTATCCACCGTATAATTCCCAAAGACAGCATCGAGACGCCTTGCTAGTTTTGGTAAATCATGTAATGGTAAAATATCCCACACCTTGAGAATTTGAGTGTGGTTTGAGTTTTCCTTGATGATGTCCACTGTCCAAATGAGATTGAGCTCGTCATTGACTTTGTATTGTTCTAACAGTTCAGAAGAAGTTCCTTTTCGGACGATGATGTTTCCGTCATTGGGAGACTGACGCCAGCCACTTGAAAGCTTTGCCAACAAACAAATCACTTCCTGACGAACCTCATTTCCCACTCTCAAAACGGATTTCCGAAAATCCTCACAGAAGCAAAACTTTAATGGAAAAAAGATTGAGGTGATAAGGTCAGAATCCACAGACTATTATTCAGCTTGAGACAAGAAAGTGAGAATTAAGAAATTTGAGAGGCAAGAAAAACCAGCATACATACCTTCCATCTTGCATTTCTGAACAGTGGAGAATTCACATTCAACACAGCATCAAGTTGGTCCAACTCTAACAAGGCATCCATTATAGCCTTGGACAAGCTTTTATCCTCATCGGCATTATAGAAACACCCCCGTTCCTTAGCGTCAGCAACTAATCTATTCCAAATAGAGTAACTGTTGACAAGAGTTGCTCCATTTCCCAATATCCACAGGCAATACCTTAGTTACACAGAACATCATAAATTGTTATTCGGAATAACCAATACGTACATACATGCATACACATGAACATGCTTACAACACTAGTATTTAACTTCTGGTATTTGGGAATAATACCTTGCACGGGTCAAAGCCACATTAGCTCTTTTGCGATTGGAAAGAAAACCCACTGATCCATTTGCATTACATCTGACTGTAGAGATAATTATAATATCCTCCTCGCCACCTTGAAATCCATCGATTGACCGGACATTTACAGCAAAGTCGCTATATGCACTGTAAGTTGATCCAATTTTTTCTTGAATTGCGTACACTTGAGCGTTGTATGGTGATATTACTCCTACGCTCATTCTCTTTCTTGCCCTCTTAAATTCTGCAATGGAAAGAAAAAGAAAGATTTAGCTTTCCCCTAGCCAATCAAAAGGTAAATCCAATAGCTATGTCATATATTTGATTTCCCTAACAGAATTTGTTAAAAAAATCCAATAGTTTCTGAGATTATTCAAATGCATACCTTTAAAAAGGCTTGCAACTATCTCTGAAACTGCAGCAACCTCAACCAAATTTTTCTTGCTCTTGCCGTTATTGAATTGCTCGTTCCCGCTGACTACATTAATAAATGAGTAAGGGCCATACATATTTCCTTGAAGGAATTGTTTCTGATAGTTTCTTCCATTGACATTTGGAGCATTCTGAATTAGCCCATCATAGAACTCTTTATTTGGGAATAAGCTTATAGATGGATGCATCCTATATTGCATATCCAGAAGGTGTTTCTTGTGATCCAGTATGACCAATCTCTCAAACAAACTCCTCCCGAATTCGGCTTCCTCGGAAATCTGATAAAAGCATGTGAAAAAAAATTAGAACCTAGAGCTTATAAATTACCTAGGAAATGGGGTGCAAGAAAGAACCTCATCACCTTGCTTTGAACCATGGCAGGAAGTTGGCGCTCGTCGCCTATAAGAACAGCATGGCGAAGATGAGAAAGTTGCAATGGAATGGTGGATTCACATTCTTTAAGCTGGGCAGCTTCATCAATAACCAACAATTGTATCTGTGTCATTCCTTCTGTGTGCAACTTGGCAGAGCTTGAAGCAGTGCAGAAAACCAGACATGCATTTTTCAAGCAAAAATTTCTGATTTCATAACTTTCAAAAAAATTTGGAACTTCAAATTTCCGAGGAAGTGAATTCAGTATCAGAATGCTTTCCTTTCTTCTAGTGGCCAACCATGAAAATTTACAAACACTGCTTCCTTCATCTTCAAAATCATTGAGGACTTGCTTTAAACCTTCATCTCCAACGGTAACACCATTCAACAAGCGTTTTAGGCAGCTGAGCGAATCAAGAGCTCTAATCATGTTCTTCACTACTTCTAATGAAATGATAGATGTTGGCAAGTGCGTATATAAACCTACGATTAAAAAGTCCAGCTTCTCACAAAGGATTTTGAACCTTTTCTTTATGAATTCCTCGAACGGGAGTATATCTTCCTTGTTTTCCTTGCCAACTTTATCTCCCTTTCCCTCACACTTTTGAAGCTTCTCTGGATAAGAAGAAAACATTCGTTTCTGTTTTTCAGTTTTCTTGTTGTCTTTCAAGGCCTGCAAAAGAACTTTCTTCAGAGCATTCCTCCTGTTCCGGCCCTTGTGATTTTGATCACTGACCTCTTCATCTTTCTCTTTGGTTCTGCTCATCTCTTCAATTTCAAGCATTCCATCATCCTGACACTTCCCCTCCTCGTTCTCTTCTTTCATAATTTCCAAATACTGACTGTACTGCTGCTCTGGATCTTCAAGCAAATTTATCAATGAGTCTACAGTGTGCTTCCACCCGGTCGACGGGGCAAAGCAATAATCAAGTACTTCAACGCGATGGTCAAGAAATATATCTTCAAGATCAGCTTTCTCAGAGATCTTCATTCGATTCCCGTTCCCAAATAGAATTATATCCCCAAGTCCGTAAGTGTCATATTCAAGAGAGTCGGTAACTAGGCTTAGGAGTCTCGACGTCACTTCCAGCACAGCAATATTGGTTGGAGCACATGTAAGTGTCCTGCACTTCAATTTAAGTAGACAATGCAATAATGAACCAACCGTCTTTGTTTTCCCCGTCCCCGGAGGACCCCAAATTAGTTTGACAGTACTCTGATGTTGGCATGCACTTAGACCAATGCAGCTTGCAATTGCATCTTCCTGTGAGACATTTAAATTGGAAGAGCTGATTATGGTTTCTTCCACACCATAAAGTGTAGCACTTCTATTCCCTTCAGATAAGCAGTGAGCACAGTCCTGGCCATCCTGCAGCAGCAGTTAGACAAGAGAATGATTAGAATATAGCAAAAAATTCCACATATCAAGAAAAATGAATCACCCTGCTTACAGCTGAATTAGTCTGAAGCACATTCTCGATGATGTTCATGTTCCCCCCTTCAAGATCTGAGTTTAGTGATCTCCATATACGAATATTTGTCATAACGTTCGCTAGATAAACTACGAATACATTGGCTCTCTTGTTCGTTCGCATTCCTCGTCCAGCAATGACAGACTCCTTTTTATTTTGTTTGTCTTCTAATTCAAATTCAATGGGCTTGGATGTGAGAATTGACAACATTTCATGATTCTTGTCATTATCTTCATCGTCATCTAGCCCATTCGATAGCCTATGAACATAAGCAAGAAGATAGTTTATCCCAGGCCTGTTTAAATCATCAATGTCTTTCGGTCTTACATCTGTCAAAGCAAGGAGATCTCCAACCTCAGGCTTATATATTCCTTTCCCGTTCCTATTGTTTCTCATTCTTTCCAACCAGATCTTATAAAACAAGTCTTTCGGAGGTTTATACTCTGTTGATTTTATTATTGAAACGATCTCTCTTATTGGTGCTTGGGAGACCATTGCCATGTTTGAGCATAAGTCCGCACGAGTTTCCTCGATTAACGCTGGAATGAATGACTTCATGTAATGTGTCCTTGACATGAATGTCTCTGGTATCTTCTCCACCTGTTAGGTGAGCAATTTAGAGTCAGACATCGAATGCTCAACAGGAAAAGAAAAGGCACATTCGCAAGAGCAAGAAATAATTGAGCATTCTTGCAGTTGGACATAATTGGCTTGTAACAACGAACTGCAATTTCCAGTTTCTGTCAACTATTCTTAAGTCAGTTCTAAAAATTACAAAGAGATAGAACGAAATCAGTACTATAAATGAACCTCAGAGATGAAAGAATTATGTTTTACTAACCAATGGATGCTTAGCTTATTGGTCTCACGTTTTCAAAGAAGGGGAAAGGGATCAAGTCCCAAGTTCATGCAAAGATAACCTTGTTTCAGCAAAATCATCATGTCATGATTTCACTTCAATCAACTTGCCAAATTTAATCAGTAAAAAAAGAACTTACACAGACTATGCTGCCCATTAAACAACCAGACTTTGACCAGAAAAAAACAATCTCACAAATTAAAAACGTAAGTAAAGCATACACATTAAATAAGCATAATAGCATGCATGCAAACCTGGTTTCTGTAAAGATCTCTGTCAAGTAAATCCCTGATAGACCAAGAGAACACGAAATCTACTAAGCTTCTACCAGCAACTTCTTCTCCAGTTTTTGCTTCCGTCTTCTCCATCGTTTCACCTCTCTGGTTAGCTTCTGTAAAATCAACAAGGAAAAAGAAAAAAGGTCCTGAACTTATAAAGAAATGATGAAACAACAGATTTCTTAAGAGTGAAGCAAGCAACCAACAGTGAGACTAGTACAGATATTTACCTTGTGGCAATGCTTCTTTTTCTATGGCTACCAAAAATCCAAATACATGAAAAGAAATGGACGTACGATGAATTAAAGGAAATGGGCCAGAAATTCCCGAAGATAGATGGAAAGAAAATATTGACTTACAAGTCAAACAAAAGTAAATTAAAGGAATATTACAAGTTTTGATCCATACGGAAACTACAAAGTCTAGCGTTTTCCATTTCTTGCTTTAGCACTTTTAATTGCTTTGCCCTACAGACATTGCTATTGCTTTTTTCTAACTTTTCAGGATCTCTCTTTACTTCAATCGGTTGCATTATTTAAAGTTATAGCACAGGGAAGAGGAGAGGTATCAAGAGAGGAACCTTTCTTACTAGGAAACCAAAGGACATTTCCTGGTTATCACGAAGCAGATAAGGTGTCCTCATTCCTATGTATTTTCCTTTATGTTATGACCAAATTGATTATTTGGTAGAGGAAAGGACAGGAATGTATACGTACGTTACGATCTACAATGACGCTTTAAATTTCTGTCCCTTTTCCTAGGTACACTTAATCTCTTTCCACAGTGGTAAGAAAATACAAGATCAACTTGTAATCCTGTAGGAGCATTCTCTTTGTGAATAGGAAGCACTTATATAACGATGTTATTGCCGTTGTTCATGTGAAACAAGGTTGATGACGCCAAAAAACAGTAATGGCTCTTAGTGCTGTAGGTGAGAGCGTAAGGCAGTGATCTGTGAAAGAGAGACAGAGAGAGGCTGTTAGGTTTTTCATTTTTTCCTTTGGTCAGTTTTCAGTTTAAACCAAACTGAACTGAAAAACTCAAAAAATTTCGGTTCGGTTCAGCTTATAAAAACAAAAAAAATTGTATTTCAAAACCGAACCGAAATTGATATTTTAGATCGGTTTAGTTTATTTTTCAATTAAAACCGAATAGTGCTCAAACTCCTACAGATGACTATCTTCCTGCGGAACAGCCACACAAAATACCACTATCAACTGTTTCGCAAACCATTATGGAATATTTATCTGATATAAAATCACAGTTGGAGATGAACACCAAATTTTAACATTCTGATGAAATCTTAGAACACACAAGGCATGAATCTAGCAAGGGAGAACACTGTTTGCTGGAAAGGATTCTAATCATTTGCCCCAACAGGCTTTAATATTGGATTCTCCATGACGGAAATTTGGTTTTTTTTCATCTGGTTTGGAAGTAGAAGGAACAGGACAGAAGGAACAGCCAACTGTTCTACTTCCAAACATGAGAAGTAGAATGAGCATCAAGGGAAGTGACGCATAGTTTTAAATCGCATACGGTTGAAAAAATGATTGCAGATCGCGGTTTACTATAATACTGAAATAACAGGGTAATGAGATGTTCCGAAACTGTTATATTATGACCGTTATACAACGTAACGGCTGTTATTTAAAACTATATGACCACATTCTTTCGTCTCCTGATCAATCTCTCCTCGTTTCAATTTTCAAAGTACAAATAGCATAGATATTGCATCGTCATACAACACTGAGACCATTAAGAATCATCAATTACAATAACTCCAACATCCGAAACTTCATTATGCACAAGCATGGAAACGATACAATGGTTCAATCAAAAGATCGCACAGCCTGCAACCTTGTTACCCAGTCACAAATATTTTACCACCCTACTTACATGTGTAAATCCCCAAAATGCTGCCAAAATTTTTACATGTACACCGTGTATGGTGTAAATCATGGGGAGAAAATTAGCCATTTGGCAAGTAATATGACTAGCTACTCTAGACACTTTAAAAATATTACAAGTACTTACATTGTGCAGACACTTTCTTTTTCAGCATACCATGCTCAATGTTGACAGAACAACTGCATCCAAGGAGAATCACAGAGGAGTAATGTTAGATCTGTCTGCATGAAAATGAAAAACCCACTTAACGTTGTATATTTTTATTGTTTTACTTTACAGCCTTTGAGAAATGTGTTATACCAGCTCCATCCCATTACCTAGGGCTGAAGCAAGGATTTCATCTCCTTGCCAAAGAGCAAACAGGATAAGCTACTAACACAAAAGGGGCAATTAACGATTTACTACAGGAGGGAAACAAGAAAGACAAATCAACAGAAAAATAAAAAGAGAAGGAAACAGAGGAAGAAAAGTTCACTTTAGAAAATTGCATATTATCGAGGCATCCTGAAGGTCCTTGTGAAATTTGTCATCGTCAACACTTTTTCTGCCTTGGCAGAAAATTTCTCTCAAACGAATAAATATATGCCTCAGAAGTTGAATGAACACTGTTAAGTATAAAAATGTATAGAAAATATTTCATAAGAAATTTCACGAGGAAGCATTAAAATATGTACGAAAGATAAGTCTGCCTCAGCCAGTCTTTCAACTTGCTAAAGGCAGATGGTCCGACCCTAAGAGGTTTCTCCATTAAAATCTATACGTGCAAAAGGAGGGAAACAGGAGCTTATGTTTTAACCTTTTTCCGCCGTGGAAATATTATAAATTAGTTTCCTAGCTTCATGACATAGAAAGTAATACAATGGTCATCATCCATAAGATGGTATGATTAGGCTCTTTCTAAACTTGACAAAACAACTGATAAGGTCCTTGGCAGATAGGGATATGATAATTTTGTGAAGCCGTCTATTTTCGTATCATCGAAACCTTTCATGCAGATGCATATTATGAACTGTGCTGCACAAAAACACTTACTTATCCATCTGTAAAGAAATCCAAGGACAAAACTGACACCCCAAAATTTGCAACCACATACTTACCTATGACAATTAGCTGATGGGCTCAGATTAATCCAATAAACTGACTTTTGAAGCAAACTGGATAGACAATAGCTCCACAGATTCATCTTTCGAGAGTTCATTTGATTGAACAGGCCAGGTCATCGGAACCTGCAAATTCCTGCATCAAGTTGACAGTGAAATTTCAGCAGAAAAACTTGCATCATCTCAAGTGGTATAAACTAGAGATCATTTGTTTTCTTCTTCCAGCTTAAAATTTTTGCTATAGCTAGCTTATTTCTCCTAGACACTCGCACACTTGGTGGAGGTATTAGAAACACATGGGCTCAAGATGCCCCCATCAATAACAGTACAATTTGATGGTGCAGTGCATCATGTGGCGTCAAACATTGTGATGGTGGGCAACTATCTGCGACTATTGAGATTGATGATGTGGGCGATTGACAGAAGGGCAGTAATGGTAGAGGTTGTGGTTTTATGATAGTGACTATTTTAAAGTATAAATGGGTCATCATCACATAAACATGGATACTCGTATGAAAAAGAAAAAAATATCAGAAAAGTCAGAAAGAAGCCAAAAGGGATGAAATTGGAGGACTGCATACCCTTCAGTGCATCTTAGCTTGCATCGGTTGATCTGATCTGCTGTATATTTGCCATAGAAGATGTCAACAATCTTCGCTAAATTTGGTATCTCAGACAGAGGTAAAACATCCCAAACCTTCAGAACCTGGAAAATGCATGAATTTTCCTCTAGAATGTCTACAGTCCAGACAAGGTAGAGTGATCCATCCATCTTATATTGCTCCAACGGTTGAGAAGAAACCCCATTCATGGAAGTAAAATCTCTCCCTGTAGGAGGCTGACCACTTGAAAGCTTCCTTAACATTGAAATAACTTGCTTACGAATCTCCATGGTTTTAATTCTTGCAAAAAATTTGGAGAGACCATCATGAAAGAAAACCTGGGCATGAATGTAAGCATCACTCTCAATTTTCAAAAGCACAGACGAAAGTAGGGTTGAATAGGGGAAAAGGGGGCATAGCTCAAGCTCCATTCTGGATTCCTCAACACCAGCCATTGATTCCTATGTGGGTGCAAATTGGGCTGGTGAAACCTAATAGTTGAACCAACCCCACTATCCAATCAAAAAATCAAGCATGCAAATTCACTTCCTGGCTGGTGGTACCGGGAGTTGGATAAAACCACCCAACCCGTTCTCTTTTAGAGATTGTACATTAATGCGTTTTCATGACTAAAATCTAAGGATGCTTCAAACCGAATATCTTTCAAATACCTGCATACAACTAATTCTTAGCTTTTGTGTTTTTTTAATTCTGCTACACATATCAGCTGCCGGTAGTAGTCCACAAATACAGACCATAAACAACCAGAATGTTTGTTCATGCAGAGAGGACTATTTCTAAAAGGAAAACAGATATTACAATATACAAAGTGAAAGAAAAATCATTTCATCTAAATAAATGCATCAAAGAAAACCACTATAATCAGCTCAATGTAACTCTTAAATTTATGATGCTGCAGACAGAAAAGAAAAGCAATATTCAGGAAAAGATAACATGAAAACACACCTTCCACCTTGCATTTTCAAACAGGACTGAATCTACATTAGGAAATTGATCAGGTTTGTCAACCTCCATCAGTGCAGCTACGATAGCCTGAGCCAAACTCTCATCCTCGTCAGCATTATAAAAACATCCCCGAGTCTTGGCATCAATGACCAATCTCTCCCAAACAGAATTACTATTACTTAAAGTTACTCCATTTCCCACAATCCAGAGGCAATACCTAGAAGAAGGAAGTAAACCTACCTTTAATTTTCAAATTAACAAAAACACTCAAATCATGTTTGAGCCATGCAATTACAATTGTATCAGAAATACCTTGCACGAGTCAAAGCCACATTTGTTCCCTGGGGACTGGAAAGGAACCCGGCCAAACCCATCAAATCACGTCTGACAGTGGAGATTAATACAATATCTTCCTCGCCACCTTGAAACCCATCAACAGAGCGCACGCTGACAGAGAAACCAATGCCAGAACCCCTACTTAATGTCTTTCCAAGTTTCTCCTGAATAGCAGAAACCTGAGCATTGTAAGGTGATATAACACCAATGCTTAATCTCTCTTTCGTCAAAACTGATTCTGCAAAGTGAACAAGGCATAAAAACTAATGCGTTATCAAAAGAAGAAGAATTCACACATACACTACATGGATGCATTTGCATCCACAATAAGAGTACCTTTAAAAAGTTTCGCAATTATTTCAGAGACAACGGCTACCTCTGCCACATTTTTTTGGCCTTTCCCACCATCAACCTCTTCATGTCCATAGGCTACATTTATGAAAGAATAGCTGCCATACATTTTTCCTTGAAGAAGACACTTTCCATTGCTTCTTTCTTTAACAAGTGGAGCATCAATAATCTGCTTTCCATAGAACTCTACATTTGGAAACAAGCTTATTGATGGATGCATTCTATACTGAACATTCAGAAGGTGCTTTTTGTGTCCCAGTTGTGCCAGTCTTTGGAATAAACTTCTTCCAAATCCAGCCTTCTTAGAAGCCTAAAGATAAAGCAACTTAAATTAGTTCATGCTGAAAAAAAAAAAGGAAATGGGAAAAAACATGAGAAACAAACAGAAACCTCGCTTTGAACCATTGCAAGCAACTGGCACTCATCCCCAACGAGGATAGCATGACGCACACCAGGAAATTGTAAAAGAATAGTTGATTCACACTCTTTCAGTTGGGCTGCTTCATCTAAAATCAACACTTCCACACTCAGTCGTAACATATCCTCTGCATACAACTTAGCAGAGCTTGAAGCAGTGCAAAATATCAAGCGAGCATTTTCTAAACAGAAATGTTTGATCTTAGATTTCCCAGAAATGTCTGGAAGAGTAAATTTACTGTGGAGCAATTTGAGTGTTTGAAGGCAATGTTTTCTAGCCTCATCCAGCTTCGACTGCTTAGAAAAGCCAATTCCGTTAATTTCATCCATAGGTTGGCTGCAGGCATGACTTAAACCTTCATCAGCAGCCTGTAATAAAGAATCAAGCAGTTCAAGAAACTCAAGAAATTTAATCATCATTTTTACCACTCTTGGAGAAATGATAGAGGTTGGCAAGTGAGTATACATGATTACAACATGCATCCGTATCTGATCTTTGCAGTCATTAAATATACGGTTTACAAACTCCTCAAATGTCAATCCATCAATTTCATGATTTTGAGAAAGAGGAACTTTGTCCTCTTTTCTGCTGTGCTTCATGCGGCTTTCCTTCCTACAATAAGATTTCTCCTTCCATGTCTTCTTGCTTTCTTCTAAGGTTTGTGAAATAAGTTTCCTTCGAGAAGAGTTGTTATTTTGGTTTCTGGATTCTTCAGCATTGACGTCATCCTGTTTTTCTCCATTGTTTTGAAGCTTCTCATTACCCAGAATCCCCTTCTCTCGTGCTTTGAAATTTTTGTCTTTCTTTCTATTGACTTGTTTTTCCAGGTACTCATAGTAAAGCTTGCCAGGATCTTCAAGCAAGCATATCAGCAATCTTACAAGATAATTCCACCCACATGAAGGTGCAAAACAATCGGAAAGTATATGAGCGCGACAGTCGAGAAATACATCAAGAAGGTCATCACGGTTACTGATCTTCATCTGCTCACCATTCCCAAATAAGATAATATCTCCAAGACCATACGTCTGATATTCAAGCTCTGGGATTACCAAATTCAGAAGCTGCGACGTAACTTCTAACACTGCCACATTAGTTGGGGCACAAGTAAGTGTTCTGCATTTCCTTTTAAAAAATGCAAATAATAATGCACCAACAGTCTTTGTTTTTCCTGTCCCAGGAGGACCCCATATTAGCTTGACCGAATTCTGATGACAGCATTCCCTCGCACATATGCAGGTTAAAACTGCTTCTTCTTGGGAAGCATTTAGATCAAAAGAGCGAATATATGCACCTAAAGTTGATACATCAACGCTGCGCTTTTCTCTAATGAAACACTTGGCACAATTGTCTACCACCTGTATAATTCAGATATGAAAATTAATTACACATAAAGAGACACATTCTACCAGTGCTTGCTCTATGTAAAGTTGTAAACCACAAAACAAACAGTATTATGGGGACAGCAACGAAATGATGGTGATTTGTGCACGAAACAAAAGGAAGTTCGAGCATGACATGAAAGGATAGTGGGAAACACAAGCTTACAGTGGAATCAGTTTGCAGCACTTGTTTAATGATGCCCATGTTCCCTTCTCCTAGCAGGTTCAGTGCCTTCCATATTCGAACATGTGTTTTCATGTTTGTTAGAAAAACAGCAAAACGAGTCTTTCGCTCGTTACGTTTCTGCATGTCTTGCTCTTCTATGGCCTTGGATGATAAAATTTGAATCTCGTCATAATCTTCATGTTCAAATCTTTTTTTCCTTTGAACTAAAGCAATCTTGTATAATCCACTAGACCAGCTCAAATCAGCAATGCATTTCGGCCGTACCTCTGCCAACACAAGGAGATCTCCATTCTCAGGCACATACACTTCCTTCTCATTTTCCGCATCACTCATTTTATTCACTCCAACATCATATATCAAATCATCAGGCTCCTTGTAATCCCCAGACTTCTCAATGTACAATATTTCACATGCTGGTGCCAACGACACCGTCATCAAGCTTGAACACAAATCAGCACGAGTTTCCTCAATAAGTGGTGGAATAAATGAGTTCCTATAGTGAGTGACTGACGGGAATGTCTTCTGAATTTTCCTCACCTGTAAGAATTTATATTGCGGTTTAGGGAACTAAATATTCATCACATTCGCAAGAAACATCCTTGTAAAACATGTTTACGATGATCAAACAAAGCAACACAAACAAATAAATTGAACTATCCTAATTTCACAAAAGCAGCATCAATGAGCAACAAACAAAACATATCATCCAACAATTCATAATGGCATGCATTTCTCTGACACAAACAACTAAGATTCTCACTGTTAACAACAAAACTTCAAAAATAATCAGCAACCCGTTTTGTCCATGCACATTCTTCAAGTCCAAAGACGAATCAAAACACTTGAAATACGATACACATTAACATATCATCCCCATGAAACTTTTTATAAAAAATAAAAAATAAATAAAAAAATAAACACAAATTCTTCAAGTCGAAAAACCAATCAAAACACTCAGAAAACACGACTACTCTTATCTAAACTCACATCTGTATCATCTAAACTGTTCTTGTATTACACACGTGCTCTAAAAAAAGAGTTTCAACGTGAAAGTTGCAACCGTACCTTGTCCTTATAGAGGTCTTCGTTAAGAACATCTTGAACAGACCAAGAAAAGACCAACTGTATCAAGCTTTTACTCCCATCCATCAGTTTTTGTTTTCTTGATCCTGAAATGAAACCCAGATTTTATTCACAGATTTCTTATGAGTGAAGCAAGCAACCAACAGTAAAACTAGTACAGATATTTATCTTCCGACAGTGCTTCTTTTTCTATAGCTAGCTACCAAAAATCCAAATACTTGACAAGAGATGGACGTACGAGGAATCAAAGGAAATGGGCCAGAGAGTCCCCTCCATTGCTTTAGTACTGTTAATTGCTTTGCCCAACAGACATTGCTTTTTTTCTAACTTTTCAAGATCTCTCTTTACTTCAATTGGTTGCATTATTTAAAGTCATAGCACAGGGATAAGGAGAGGAATCAAAAGAGGAAGCTTTCATACTAGGAAAGAGAAGGACTTTTCCTGGTTATCACGAACCAGATAAAACGTCCTCATTCCTATCTATTTTCCTCTGTTGTGACAAAACTGATTATTTGGCAGAGGAAAGGGCAGGAATGCATATTTACGTTACGATTTACGATGATGCTTTAATTTCAGTCCCTTTTCCTAGGTACACATAATTTCTTTCCACAGAGGTAAGAAAATACAAGATAGCTTGTAATCTTGTAGTAGTATTTTCTGTGAGTGAATAGGAAGAACAGCGTCCAAACCTTTTTCCAATTTACACATATATAGGGCATGATTAAGATTATATGACGATGTTACTGCCGTTACATTCATGAGAAACAAGGTTGATGACACCAAAAAACAGTAATGGCTCTTTGTGCTGCAGGTGAGGGCTTGAGACTGTGATTCGTGAAAGAGCGACAAAGAGAGAGGCTTTTAGGTTTCTCAGCTTTTTCCTTAATCAGTTTTCAGTTTAAACCAAATCAAATTGAAAAACTGAAAAAAAAAATCAGTTCGGTTTCAGTTTTTTTGGGAAAAAAAATATTGCATTTCAAAACCAAACCGAAATTTATTTTCTAGTTCGGTTCGGTTCAGTTCATTTTTCAATTAAAACTGAATAGTGTTCGCACCTACCTCTGACTGATTCCTAGCTGTTATTTAAAACCATGATTTAGGCCTAACAATCCAAAATTGCATCTTCAGCCAACTCGAACTCCTACAACTGACTATCTTCCGACGGAACTGCCACACAAGATGCCACTATCAACTGTTTCGCCACCCATTATGGAGTATCTATCAGATATAAAATCACAATTGCCCCGACAGGCTTTAATATTGGATTCTCCATGACAGAAATTTTGGTTGTTTTCAACTGGTTTGGAAGGAGAAGGAACAGGGACAGAAGGAACAGCCAACTGTTCTACTTCCAAACGTGAGAAGTAGAAAGAGCATCCAGGGGAAGTGATGACCACATTCTCTCGTCTCCTGGTCAATCTCTCCTCGTTTCACCTTTCAAAGTACAAATAGCATAGATATTGCATCGTCATACAACATTGAGACCATTAAGAATCATCAATTACAATAACTCCAACATCTGAAACCTCATTATGCACAAGCATGGAAACGGTATAATGGTCCAATCAAAAGATCACACAGCCTGCAACCTTGTTACCTAGTCACAAATATTCCATCACCCTACTTACATGTGTAAATCCCCAAAAAGCTGCCAAAATTTTTACATGTACACCGCGTATGGTGTAAATCATAGGGAGAACATTAGCTATTTGGCAAGTAATATGACTAGCTACTCTAGACACTGTACAAATATTACAAGTACTTACATTGTGCAGCCACTTTTTTTTTTTCATCATACCATGCTCAATGTTGACAGAACACCTACTTTTCGACCTGCATCCAATGAGAATCACAGAGTAGTAATGTTAGATCCATCTGCTTGAAAATAAAAAACCACTTAACGTTGGGTGTTTTTATTGTTTTACTTTACAACCTTCGAGAAATATGTTATACCAGCTCCATCCCATTGCCTAGGGTTGAAGCAAGGATTTCATCTCCTTGCCAAAGAGCAAAAAGGATAAGCTACTAACTCGAAAGGGCAATTAGCAATTTACTAGAGGGGGAAACAAGAAAGACAAATCAATAGTTGAGAGGCAAAGTTTCCTGACTACAAAACAGAGGAAGAAAAGTTCAGTTTAGAAAATTGCATATTATCGAGGCATCCTGAAGGTCCTTGTGAAATTTGTCATCGTCAACACTTTTTCTACCTTGGGAGAAAATTTCTCTCAAATGAATAAATATATGCCTCAAAAGGCAAATGAACATTGTTAAGTATAAAAATGTAAAGAAAATATTTCATAAGAAATTTCACAAGGAAGCATTAAAATATGTACGAGAAAGAATCATAAAGCTTTGCTCTCACACAACTCAAAGTTAACATTTTTTAGTAGTGTTTGCATTTAATCTAAGCTTAGCAGATAAGTCGGCCACAGCCACAGTCTATCAACTTGCTATAGGCAGATGGCCCTACCCTAAGAGGTTTCTCCATTCAAATCTATATGTGCAAAAAGAGGGAAACAGGAGCTTACGTTTTAACCTTTTTCCACAGTGGAAATATTATAAATTAGTTTCCAAGCTTCATGACATACAAAGTAATATAGTGCTCATAATCCATAAGATGGTATGGTTAGGCTCTTTTTAAACTGGACAAAACAACTGATAAGAGGGGGCACACATGCAGCCCGTGGGGTTGCAGTGGACAAGTCAATCAGGAAGTGCAAGTGGTTCGGTAAGAACAAGTATTTCAAAGCATACAAGAAGGTCCTTGGCAGATAGGCATGGTCCAGATATGATAATTTTATGAAACCGTCTATTTTTGTATCATTGAAACCTTTCATGCAGATGCATATTATGAATTGTGCTGCACAACAACACATACTTATCCATCTGTAAAGAAATCCAAGGACAAAACTGACACCCCAAACTACACCCCAAAATTTACAACCACATACTAACCTATGACAATTAGCTGATGGGCTCAGATTAATCCAATAAACTGAGTGAAGCAAACTGGATAGACAATAACTCCACAGAGTTGTCTTTCGAGAGTTCATTTGAATGAACAGGCCAGGTCATCGGAACCTGCAAATTCCTGCATCAAGTTGACAGTGAAATTTCAGGGGATAAACTAGCATCGTTTCTAGTGCTATAAACTAGAGATCATTTTTTTTTTCTGCCAGCTTAAAATTTTTCCAATAGCATTAGCTTCTTTCTCCTAGACACTCGCACATACAACAGCAAGATTGCAGTGGCTGGTGGCAGTAACAGGTAAGAGCCCATCAAGTGGTATGTATGTGCCACGAACTGCAGTCATGGTGGAGGTATTAGTAACACATGAAATAAAATCTGATGGAGCAGTGCATCAAGTGGTGTCAGACACTGTGACAGTGGGCAACCATTTGCCACTATGAGATCGAAGATGTGGTGGTTGACGGAAGGGCAGTCATGGTAGAGGTTGTGGTGTCATGATAGTGACTATTTTAAAGTATAAATGGCAACATGGCATTGCGCAGCAAATGATCCAGGAACCAATGTTAATCTGGACAGTTATGATCCAGCAACCAATGCCTGTCGTGGTATTGAGCTTTTCTTCTTTTTTTTCCCTTTTTTTTCTTTTTTTTAATTTCTCTCTAATTGCACTGCAATTGCAAATAGAGATTAAGATAGCATGACATCAAGGTTGCTTCACACAGGAAGCATTCTCTAATTCATTGAAACAAAATTCACCAATAGAACAATTCCTAAGGTCAATACCACCCTGATGAAGTACTTTCAAGTCTTAATCCTTTTACCAGTAACTTTTTTATGTTATTGGTTCATCATCACAAAAACATGGATACTCCTATGAAAATGAAAAAAAAAATCAGAAAAGTCAAAAAAGAAGCCAAAAGGATTGCATACCCTTCAGTGCATCTTAGCTTGCATCGGTTGATCTGATCCGCTGTATATTTGCCATAGAAGATGTCAACAAGCTTCGCTAAGTTTGGTATCTCAGACAGAGATAAAACATCCCAAACCTTCAGAACCTGGAAAATGCATGAATTTTCCTCTAGAATGTCTACAGTCCAGACAAGGTAGAGTGATCCATCAATCTTATATTGCTCCAACAGTTGAGAAGAAACCCCATTCATGAAAGTAAGATCTCTCCCTTTATGAGGCTGACGCCAACCACTTGAAAGCTTCCTTAACATTGAAATAACTTGCTCACAAATCTCCACACTTTTAATTCTTGCAATGAATTTGGAGAGACCATCATGAAAGAAAACCTGGGCGTGACTAAGCATCACTCTCAATTTCAAAAGCACAGATGAAAGCAGGTTGGAATAGGGGGAAAGGGGGCATCTAACTTCATACTAAAACTAGAGAGCTCAAGCTGCATTCCGGATTCTTCAACACCAGCCATTGATTCCTATGTGGGTGCAAATTGGGCTGGTGAAACCTAATAGCTGAACCAACCCCACTATCCAATCACAAAATCAAGCATGGAAATTCACGTCCAGGCTGGTGGTACCAGGAGTTGGATAAACCACCCAACCAGTTCTCTTTTAATGATTGTACATTAATGCATTTCCATGACTAAAATCTAAGAATGCTTCAAACCGAACATCTTTCAAATAGCTGCAAACAACTAATTCTTAGCTTTTGTGCTTTTTTAACTTGTAGTCCACAAAGAAGGACCATAAACAACCGGAGCATTTGTGCATGCAGAGCGGACTATTTCTAAAAGGAAAACGGATATTACAATATATAAAGTGAAAAAAAAAATCCTTTCATCTAAATAAATGCATCAAAGAAAACCACTATAATCAGCTCAATTTAACTCTTAAATTCATGATGCTGCAGACAGAAAAGAAAAGCAATATCCAGGAAAAGATAACATGAAAACACACCTTCCACCTTGCATTTTTAGACAGGACTGAGTCTGCATTAGGAAATTGATCAGGTTTGTCAACCTCCATGAGTGAAACTACAATAGCCTGAGCCAAACTCTCATCCTCATCAGCATTATAAAAAAGTCCCCGAGTTTTGGCATCAATGACCAATCTCTCCCAAACAGAATTACTATTACCTAAAGTTACTCCATTTCCCACAATCCAGAGGCAATACCTAGAAAAAGGAAGTAAACCTACCTTTAACTTTCAAATTCACAAAACCACTCAAATCATGTTTGAGCCATGCAATTACAATTGTGTCAGAAATACCTTGCACGCGTCAAAGCCACATTTGTTCTCTGCGGACTGGAAAGGAACCCCACCAAACCCATCAGATCACATCTGACAGTGGAGATTACTATGATATCTTCCTCGCCACCTTGAAACCCATCAACAGAGCGCACGCTGACAGAGAAACCACTGCCAGAACCTCTACTTAATGTCTTTCCAAGTTTCTCCTGAATGGCAGAAACCTGAGCATTGTAAGGTGATATAACACCAATGCTTAATCTCTCTTTCATCAAAACTGATTCTGCAAAGTGAACAAGGCATAAAAACTAGTCTGCATCATCAAAAGAAGAAGAATTCACACGTACATTGCATGGATGCATTTGCATCCACAACAAGAATACCTTTAAAAAGTTTTGCAATTATTTCAGAGACGACGGCTACCTCTACCACATTTTTTCGGCTTTTCCCACCATCAACCTCTTCATGTCCATAGGCCACATTTATGAAAGAATAGCTGCCATACATTTTTCCTTGAAGAAGACACTTTCTATAACTTCTTTCTTTAATAAGTGGAGCATCAATAATCTGCTTTCCATAGAACTCTACATTTGGAAACAAGCTTATTGATGGATGCATTCTATACTGAACATTCAGAAGGTGCTTTTTGTGTCCCATTTGTGCCAGTCTTTGGAATAAACTTCTTCCAAATTCAGCCTTCTCAGAAGTCTAAAGATAATGCAACTTAAATCAGTTCATGCTGGAAAAAAAAAAAAAAGGAAATGTGAAGAAGAAGAGAAACAAACAGAAACCTTGCTTTGAACCATTGCAGGCAACTGGCACTCATCCCCAACAAGGATAGCATGACGCACACCAGGAAATTGTAAAGGAATAGTTGATTCACACTCTTTCAGTTGGGCTGCTTCATCTAAAATCAACACTTCCAAACTCAATCGTAACATATCCTCTGCATACAACTTAGCAGAGCTTGAAGCAGTGCAAAATATCAAGCGAGCATTTTCTAAACAGAAATGTTTGATTTTAGACTTCCCAGAAATGTCTGGAAGAGTAAATTTACTGAGGAGCAATTTGAGTATTTGAAGGCAATGTTTTCTAGCCTCTTCCAGCTTCAACTGCTTAGAAAAGCCAATTCCGTTAATTTCATCCATAGGTTGGTTGCAGGCATGACCTAAACCTTCATCAGCGGCATGTAATAAAGAATCAAGCAGTTCAAGAGACTCAAGGAATTCAACCATCATTTTTACCACTCTTGGAGAAATGACAGAGGTTGGCAAGTGAGTATGCATGATTACAACATGCATCCGCATCTGATCTTTGCAGTCATTAAATTTACAGTTTACAAACTCCTCAAATGTCAATCCTTCAATTTCATGATTTTGAGAAAGAGGAACTTTGTCCTCTTTTCTGCTGTGCCTCATGCGGCTTTCCTTCCTACGACAAGATTTCTCCTTCCATGTCTTCTTGCTTTCTTCTAAGGTTTGCAAAATAACTTTCCTCCAAGAAAAGTTGTTATTTTGGTTTCTGGATTCTTTAGCATCGACAACATCCTGTTTTTCTTCATTGTTTTGAAGCTTCTCATTTCCAAGAATTCTCTTCTCTTGTGCTTTGAAATTTTTGTCTTTCTTTCTATTGGCTTGTTTTTCCAAGTACTCATGGTAAAGCTTGCCAGGATCTTCAAGCAAGCATATCATCAATCTTACGAGATAATTCCACCCAGATGAAGGTGCAAAACAATCGGAAAGTATATGAGCACGATAGTCGAGAAATACATCAAGAAGGTCATCACGGTTACAAATCTTCATCCGCTCACCATTCCCAAATAAGATAATATCTCCAAGACCATAAGTCTTATATTCAAGCTTTGGGATTAGCAAATTCAGAAGCCGTGAAGTAACTTCTAACACTGCCACATTAGTTGGGGCACAACTAAGTGTTCTGCATTTCCTTTTGAAAAATGCAAATAATAATGCACCTACAGTTTTTGTTTTTCCTGTCCCAGGAGGACCCCATATTAGTTTGACCAAATTCTGATGACAGCATTCCCTCGCACATATACAAGTTAAAACTGCTTCTTCTTGGGAAGCATTTAGATCAAAAGAGCGAATATATGCACCTAAAGTTGATGCATCAATGTTGTGCTTTTCTCGAATGAAGCAGCTGGCACAATTGTCTACCGCCTGTATAATTCAGATATGAAAAAGTAATTGCATATAAATAGACACATTCTACCAGTGCTTGCTCTATTTAAACTTGTAAACCACAAAGCAAACAGTATTAAGGTGACACGAGTAAATGATGGTGATTGGTGCGCAAAAAAAAGGAAATTCATGTACAGCATGAAAGGATAGTGTGAAACACAAGCTTACAGTGGAATCAGTTTGCAGCACTTGTTTAATGATGTCCATGTTCCCTTCTCCTAGCAGGTTCAGTGCCTTCCATATTCGAACGTTTGTTTTTATGTTTGTTAGAAAAACAGCAAAACGAGTCTTTTGCTCATTACGTTTCTGCATGTCTTGCTCTTCGATGGCCTTTGATGATAAAATTTGAATCTCATCATAATCTTCATGTTCAAATCTTTTTTTCCTTTGAACTAAAGCAATCTTATATGATCCACTAGACCAGCTCAAATCATCAATGCATTTCGGCCATACCTCTGCCAACACAAGGAGATCTCCATTCTCAGGCACGTACACTTCCTTCTCATTTTCAGCATCGCTAATTTTATTCACTCCAACATCATATATCAAATCATCAGGCTCCTTGTAATCCCCAGACTTCTCAATGTACAATATTTCACATGCTGGTGCCAATGATACCGCCATCAAGCTTGAACACAAATCAGCACGAGTTTCCTCGATGAGTGGGGGAATAAATGAGTTCCTATAGAGAGTGACTGACGGGAATGTGTTCAGAATTTTCCTCACCTGTAAGAATTTATATTACAGTTTACGGAACTAAACATTCATCACATTGATAAGAAACATCACTTGTAAAACATGTTTACCATGATCAAAAAAATAAATTGACCTATACTATTTTCACAAAAGAAGCGTCAATGAGGAACTAACAAAGCATATCATCCACCCATTCAGAATGGCATGCATTTCTCTGACACAAACAACTAAGATTCTCACTATTAACAACAAAACTAAAAAAATAATCAGCAAGCCTTTTTCCGTACACAATCTTCAAGTGGAAAGACGAATCAAAACAATTGAAATATAATACACATAACATATCATCCCCACTAAAAAAAAAAAAAACCAGCAATTTTTTCCGTACATGTTCTTCAAATCGAAAAAAACAATCAAAACACTCAGAAAACACGACTACTGCTAACTAAACTCACAACTATGCCATCTAACTGTGCGTGTATTACACACACGTGCCCTAAAAGACATAAAGAGCTTCAATGTGAAAGTTGCAACTGTACCTTGTTCTTATAGAGGTCTTGATTAAGAACATCTTGAACAGACCAAGAAAAGACCAACTTTATCAAGCTTTTACTCCCCTCCATCAGTTTTATTCACTGAAAAGGAAAGAACGGCCCGCCAAAATAAAACCCAGATAAGTATATGCAAAAGTATGTACAAAGAGAGCTTACCCAGTTGAGGAATGCTAGTGGGGGTCCATAATTTGGGAGAAAATAGCAATGGCAATTGCAATGTTGATGATGAGAAGGAAGGGAAAGGTGGTGGCAATGGTAGAATTTTAAAATGGGCAAGAATATAGGAGTTCGTAGCGCCTGTCACCTGGCAAGGAATTAATCAGCCCAGATTCCTTCTTTTTTAGACCTGCTTGTGCCGAAGTAACACACATGGGCAATCATCAAATATGAGGCATTTCGAACATGTCAACTTTGGAAAATATCCGAATACGTATGTATGGCTCATAACGGTTCCGATTTGGATCGAATTATTTATTTTATAAATTGATCCAATCTAATCTTATAAATTCAGATTTAAATTTTATAATTATAGATTCAGATACTAACTTATACGAATCAGACTCGAATATTCATCGGATTTAAATTATTTTTTAAAAAAATATTAGCTACATTCAAAATTATGTTTTAATGTAAAATAAGTTTTGACTATTATATATATACGAAATATGTATTATGATAATATATAATATGTTAAATTAAAAAAAAAAGTCAAATGTCTTACCTTTAAAAAGAACAAAATTAAATAATCTAGATAAAAAATTATATTAAAGATCATATTTAATTTTAGTTAGGTAAAGTTGAAAAAAAATGTCTATTTTTGATATTTTGATATTTGATCATTATTGAATCTTAAAACCTATACAATTAAAAAAAAAATCATGGAGTATATGATTATCTGGCATCTCACTCTAGTTTAAAAGAATTGTTTGAAACGCTAAATGATTAGTGTAATAAAAACCATGCTCGAATATTAGAGAAATTATAGCTATTCATTCTTAATTACAATTGTTCATAAAAATACATGCATATTGAGTTTTAAATAAGTTTAATGCCTATAAGTTGTTCGTCTATATATGTCGCTTTTCAAATTTGATTTTTTATTTAATACAATTATGCATAATATCGTCACAATTTATAATATTCAATTGATTTGAAATGTAGCATAATAATATATATGTGTGTTTGTGTGTAAATATATAATTGTATTCATATATTAGTTAGACCAAAATTGAAATATATTAAAAAAAAAGTTATGTAATGACGTAACTTATGGTAAATGAATTTTTTAAATATATAGCAATTCAAGAACCGTGGATCAAATCTTTCTCAAGCTTTTGATGTATGAGTTCATTGAAAAATTCTTGCAAAGTCATGATAATCTCAAAAGCTAGTAAGGTACTCATACATAGAGATCAAGAATTTAATCAAAGGATTCAAATATAAGTTAGGTGAAAGAAGAAGTTATGACACTTTATATACGAGAAAAACTTTGTAGTGGTCGTTTTGTAGCTATAAAAATATTGGGTAACTCCAAAGCCATTAGACAAGATTTTACCATTAATGAAGTTGCCACCGTTAGAAGAATACGAGCCAAACCAAGTGTAGTTGATTAGCTTCATTGCTGAGGAAACAAAGTGTTCTCTTGTATACGAGGTCATGCTAAATGAGTCTCTTGATAAATTCATCTTTTTCGAAGAAGATAGCATGTCACCGAGCAATGAGAAAATATATAAGATTTCTCATAACATTCTTCTTGATGAGAAGTTTATTCCTAAAATTTCAGATTTTTTATTGGCAAAATTATATCTAATAGATAATGGTAATGTGTCTCTCACATTAGCAAGAGGAATGATGGATTATATATGTAACGCTCCCACCCTGGTCGTATTTCTACTACCCAAGTAGGTACTCGGACGAAGCACATTACACCGACATACTCTAAACTCTAAGTAGTTTTTTTATGATATTCTTAGAACTTTAACGAGTACATTACGTATATAACTCCTTAGGATAAAATTTACATAACATAATTAAATACATTAATAAAACATTACATGCAATATTCAATTTCTCACGAACTTCATACCCCAAATTTACGAGCAAAATAAAAACTAATATATGGTGCCTCACATGAGCCGGTTAGGAGGAGCCGACCGCATCCGTACCAACTTATCCTTTTCCGTCAAGACATAAAAAAAAATAACAACATGGTGAGCCGAAGCTCGGTAAGCGAGGTGATGCACGTGATATGCAATGTTGTTTTGACTTCCCACCATACTCATAAATTTTAATCTCGGGTACCACAGGTTTTAGCCGATCTACTCTATTTATCATCCGGGTGGTCCACGGATCACCTTCTACTACAATGGAATTATCCCTCGTTATAACTACCGTTAGTGGGAATCCATCGTCTAACGAGTGCAAGCACACAACTTGATTTCATCCGGATGATCATCGGATCATCTTCTCGCTACAACGAAATTATCCCTCGTTGTAACTACTATTAGCGAAAATCCATCGTCTAATAGTGTAGGCACACAACCTAGAGTACTCGGACTACTAATACCTATTTATTCCAATTAAGTTATCAAACCTAGATGTATAAACCATTTCTCAATCAATTGACTTGTCTTAAACCACCCACTATGCACATGATGCACGTGATGACATATTTAATCACATTCAACTAAATTCGGGTACCAACCCTTCATTCTCATGCCATACTCACGGTCCAACCCACACTCGAAATTTATCCATTGCTCACATACCAATCATGATACCCACAGCGGGAACACAATCTCCGCTCATTAATATTGTTCATTAGTTTCGTTAATATTTAAAAGAATGTCCAAGTCCATTTACGTTAATCCAAGCCCATTAACTTTATCCTAAGTCCATTGAATTTATTCAATTCCATTTTATTTATTCCAAGCCCATTTAGTTTATTTCAAACCCATTAATTTTGTCCAAGTCTAATTCTTTGGTTTTAGGGTTTATTACCGGGCAACTCCTAATTGAGTAAATAATTTTTCAATTTTAGAACATAATTAAATCTTATGCATTTTATTTTAGATACTAGACATATTTATTTATAACATATCCAAAAATTAGGTCTAAATACCAAGTACATAATTAATTACAAATTTTTGAAACTTAGGGAGCAATCTGCCTAATAGTAGTTTATCTAGAGTTATCTATAATAAATCGGATATAACTCTTTGTACACAAATCCAATGACCAAGAAATTTTAAAGGAAGTTAGTTGAAACATAGATGAACAACTTTTATGCTTTACGTTTCACCTAGAAATTGATCTAAAATCCTTGAATAGACACCCCAAAATTCGGACAGAATTTACTCCTTATTAACACTAATTTATTAGTTCATTCCAAGCCAATTTTAAACATGTTTTAGTTCACTTAAATTTAGTCCAAGTTCAATCCAACCCATCACCACATACTTGGACATTTTTTAAAAAATCATAACATCATAAATCATCACAACAAGGCATCCATATATAGATTTATTCCAAGCATCAAGCATATAACCATTGAAAATTATTACAACCCATGAAATAAACACTAACAAAATAACTTTAAAAAAATAATTTAAGACATTAATCAGTCAAAAAAATGAAACCTACTTACCTCTTTTAGGTTTGATTAGAATTTCTTTAGCTCTTTTTCTTTCCTTTTTCCCTTTTCTTTCTCTTTTCTTTCTTTCTCTCTTTTTGCTGTTTTTCTCTCTTCGATTTGGCTTCTCTTTTTAATTCTGGATGGCTATGGTTTTTGGCCTAAAAATGGCAGCCATTTAACCCTCTCTTTCCCTTATATACCCACCTTTAATCCTCTCATTTATTTATATCATAAGTGTTACAATTTAACTAGGCCAAATGTAAAGTGAAGGAAGCTTGGAAGGCAAAGCTGGCATGTTTTGGAAGTCAAATGTGATGATTTACCTTCTAAGCATTTAATTCAAGTGCTTAGGTGGCTAAAGAAAAATTAGGATAAATAAAAACATTAATAAGCTGGGTTAATGTAATTAGAAAAAATTTCTTTCATAAAAAATTCGGAAATTTCCATTTTTAAAATTCGGAATTTCTTATTCTCCAAAATTTCAGCAGTGTTACCTCCTAACCCATCTATACTAAAATATGCATAACGCTTTCTATATGTATCCAAAATTTATGAAATTTTATAGAGAGCTAGTACACACATATGCAAACAACTTTTATTCTTTATGTGTTTCTCAAAAATCAATCTAACAGCATCAAATAAATCTCACAAGATTCAGGTGGATTCTTCTCCCAAAATTCCAGCAGAATGCATTTCGAAACAACCCTCACTATAATTGGTATAACTCTTAATGTATAGGTCCAAATATTATAAAATTTTATACAAGACTATTAAACACATAGATGAACAACTTTCATTCTTTAAGATTGACCCAAAAATTACTCTAGAGTCCTCAAATAATTCACACAAAACTCGGGCAGAATATAGTCCTTAAAACACTGATTTTGCATATTTGATTTCTTTAATAATTAAACCATTAATCTTAAGCACAATAACTTTAATTTAACATAAATCACATATTTCAAGCATTAATTTTTCATGATGAAATGAGAATTATACTTACTCTTAATATACATATATATAGAATTATTCTAATATACGTCGCGTTACGAATAAAGGTTTTTACGGGAGTTACAATATAGCTTAAGAATTCATACAATTTAGGCTTACTGATCGTCCTATAACGTGTAAAGTCATAAATATGCTTTAAGTAGAAATCGATTGTTCATAAATGCCTTTAAACCTTTTCTCACACCACTAGAGATGGCATGATCAACATGGCCAATCTATACCAAATTATTTCATAGATTCTTAATATCGGTTTAGTCATTGATGCAATTTGAGTGACGTGTTGCTATTTTTATAATTGATTGTATAGGCTTTGTATATTCGTGGGTCTCTTTAAAGTTGCTAGTTGTTTATTGCTTTGATATTTTTCCTTAGCTTATACTTTTAGATCAATAAAGTCTTCATTTTCGATAGAATCTTTTAAGAG